ATCTTGTCCTAATATGCACCGTGTATGGCATACCGTGACAGACGCTATCCACCCTGATGTTCCCCTCCACGGCTCAGCCAAGTCTCCTGTACCTACAATGCATACTTACTGCACGCCAGGAGGTGGCCTCTGCGAAGGAAACCAGCTCAGAGCATGGCACTACTCAAATGGGTGCCTCCCCCTTAGGAGGGGGGATTTAAGTTGCACCACCCCCTTTCCTTAACTTAGAATTTCAGAAGCCTGAAAAAAACAACTCTGAATCACCAACTCCCAAATCCTTTATCTTGCCCATCTCTATTCCTCTCGGAGTTTGTGTGCTGGCTTCACAAGCCGAGGTGTGATTGCTTCGGCGGTCAGGGCTGCACGATCTGCTGGGTGCAGGGAGCTCCAGCTGCGCTTTTTCTGCCTCAGACACCTCCCCTGGCAATAAACCCAACTCCATCAGGGCTTCCCTAATGACTCCTGCAGCAGCGGGCACCACCGCAGCTCGTTAACAGCAGCACTGGCACTACAGGGCTAGGGGGAACAAATGCTGATTTGCTTCCAGAAAATGAGCCAACTCCACTATTAGACACTGCCCACAGTTGTGCAGGAAGCAGCAGCCATGTACAGATGGGGGAGCACATTCTGTGGAAGCTTCTGCTGTGAGACAAGGCGCCTAACACTGCTTGTAGCCAGCAAAACGCAGCAAGGTTCAATCTCAGTGTTGCCTCTTGTCGGGGCGGGAGGAAAGCAGACAGCCACACTCAGGCCTCAGAGTGGCAAAGCAGGCACTGTGAAACCCTCGCTCTGCAGGGCTCCTCTGCCTTCCTAGCTTTTTCTAAAGGGGTCAGCTGAGCTGCTGGGGATCTGCTTATGCCCATGGAACAAGGTCACTGCACAAGCTTTAGGGTTCCACTTCACAGAGTTCTCAAGGGCTTGCGGCGTGTCCAGCGGCGTTTCGAGAGCTTTGTGTGATTTGAATGTCTTCAATTCTCACCTTGAGGGAGACACCCTGAAACTCTTTTTTTTTTCTTAAACTTGTTTATTTTATTTTGATAATCTTTACACAGTCGATTAGTGCACAAAGGGTCAAGGGCTACAGGAAAGTTGATAAGACCATTGTTTCCAGATTCTTTTTTCTGTGTCTAAGGTAAGAGGGGAGATAATGGGAGAAGCCCCACCCAGCCTCCCACCCATCCCAGGGTCCCCAATGTGGGGCATGCTCTGAGGGTCCTGCTCAAGTGGGTCTGATAGTTCAACAGTTCTGAATTGCTGCCAATCTCGCCATTCCAAGCAGGATGAAATCTCTTCAGAATCCACTGGCTGACATTGTCCATCTTGGTGTCTTCACTTGCCCAGTTTTTCACTGCCAACACTTGGCTGGAGTAGTTGAATGATTTGTTCTGTCCTCTGTCCTCTGTTGTGGTACCAGCTGTCCCCTGCAGGTTCCAATGGACTGTCATATCCTCCACATGCACCTGTATTCGCTGACCATTGTTATGTCTGAGACTCTGAAGAGGTTCAGCTTTGACACATGCACTCCATGGTCAGACCATGGAACCTGCACTTCTCTTCATGGTTGGGGTTGAGATCAGCAGTTCAGTTGGAGGAATCCCCAAAGAAATTTCGCCTGAGGTAATCCCATACCTGATTCTCACCTTGAGGAAGACACCCTGAAACTCTTAATATCCTTAGCTAGAAAAACTGAAATTCAGAGAGGACAAGTTCAGATCCCTGGGTAAGGGGCTGGTGCAGAGGCTTAACATACTAGCCCTCTGCCTTCAAGCGCCAGCATCCCAGACAGGCGCTGGTTTGTGTCCTGGTTGCTGCATTTCTGCTCCGCCTCCCTGCGCTGTACAGGATGGCACAAAAACTTGGGACTCTGTACCCATGTGGGAGACCCAGAGGAAGATCCTGGCTCTTGGCTTCGGACCGGCTCACCTCTGGCCAATGTGGCCATTTGGGGAGTGAATCAGTGGACAGAAGATGCTGCATTCTCTTTCTCTCCTGCTGTGTAAATCTTTCGAGTAAAATAAATTTTAAAAAATTCCTGTGTAGAACTCCACATAAAATCTAGGTTCAGCAGCCAGCACCATGGAGTAACAGATTTAGCCACCATCCGCAACGCAGATATCCCACAGGGGCACTGGTTCATATCCCAGCAGCTCTACTTCCCACCCAGCTCCCTGCCGATATACTTTGGAAAGCAGTGGAAGACAGCCCAAAGCCTTGTGCTCCTGCACCCACGTGCACACACAGGCCACAAGTAGGGAGCTAGATGGCAAGCGGGGCTGCCAGGATTAGAACCTGTGCCCATACTGGATCGAGGCGTGTGCAAGGCAAGGACTTTAGCCACTAGGTTATTGCACTGAGCCCAAAAGTGATGACTCTTAAAATGATGCTTGAGTAGTGTGTGATCAGATCATGTCTGAGCCTCCAGTTGGTCCACAGCGCTCACAGCTTCCCTTGACTGGTCAGGGACAGGACAGTCCATTTGTTCTGAGAAAGCTGTGATGCCAAAGAGAGCTCTGGTCTGCCTAGGGTCCAGAGGCACATGATTATTACATTGTTTAATCACAGCCTGAGGTTCCTAGGAAGTATCTCACAATGAAGTCTAGCATTTGACTTAACGACAGAGGTGATCATTGGATTGAGTCTTATGATTCAAGGTCATGTAGGGGTTTGCCTGGCCCCTACAGCGCCCATTTAATTCAGCGAGTTAATCATCAGAAAGGAGTTGCCTTATAATCATCATAGTAGACAGACAAAATGCAAGTTGAGAGAGAGAGACTGAGGCCTAAGAAGTCTACATCCAAGGCGGTGGGGATAAGGGTTCAGCTGAATGCCAGAGCGCCCACAACATAAGTGTGAGGGAATAAGAGTTTGCTCACAGGCCAAACTGGCTCCCCAGAACACAGTCTTAATCTCTGGGCTACATTTTGGGTGCTAGCTAACAATAATAAGCCACATCTATAAAGTGTTTTCCTTCCTATACATAAAACGCTTCCAAACACTTGGCCCCATCACTGCACAGCGTTGCTACTGGTGTCATCTGCAAAGCTGGCCACAGTGCCTCAGGTCACCTCCTTCCCTGCCTACCAGGGCACCGACCAGATAGGCAAAATTGGGACAAGGAAGGAATTCCTTTGGCAAAAGCATCTAGCTCAGTGTGCTGACTCACGTGAGAGCCGTAGTGGGGGTGAGGGACACGCTTTGGGACTGAAGAGGTTCCTTCTCACTTTACTCTTGGTTTTACCTGATTATCTGTGTATCAGTGTGGGATTCTAGAAAACAGAGAGAGAGAGAGAGATCTGCCATCCATTGGTTTGTTTCTCAAATGGTCAAAAACAGGAACCTCAAACTTTATCCAGGTTTCTCTCACAGATGGCAGGGACCCAAGCAGGTGGGTCATCTTCTACGGCTTCCCGACACATTAGCAGAGAGCTGAACTGCAAGCAGAGCAGCCAAGGGCATGAATCAGTGTTCATGTGGGATGCTAGCATTGCAGGTGGCAGCTTAATTCACTGCACCAAATGCCAGCCCAAGGATAACAAGTTAGAATTCGTGGATGTCAACATTTTATGTTATCAGTTGGATGAGATCCTTGGAAACTGCTGTGTTTACTCAAGTTCATAGAACACCAATAGGACAGGTTAATTATTACTAGGACATACTTCCATGATTTCTAGGTAGCTAGAGCATTCTTCTCAATTACCTATAACTGCCTCTTTCCCAGAATCATGGTAGTAGAATAAGTTATCAGCAGCTTAGTGAATATATAGTCATTAACAGTTTGGAGGGTTTGGTTTGGAACATCCCTAGGTCTGGAACACTCCAGTCAGGAGAGAAAAGGGACCACACAATTATCTGTATCCAGATTTTCAGTGATCAACAAACTCACACTTTTCAGATACAATTGAAGAGATATTGGCAAATTCTGATGAACAGTCTGGCAGCTGCCTCCCACAGTCTCCCCTCTCTCTCCAATCCTCTGGGTGCCACTGCCCTGGGCCCAGTGTTGTTGCACCTTCAGAATCCCCCTGCCCCACTGCTTGCTCCTTCCCCTGCATTTGAGACCCCCAAGCTTGGCCAGTGCAGCCCCTAAGCCACCCTTCCGCTAGGAGCCGAAACAACCCCCTGCCCGGGCTCCCAGCAGTCCTGTTGGTCCAGCCCAGACTTTCTCTGGCTGCGTCCCCTTCACAGGCACTCAAGCTTCCTCAAGTTACGCTGTACTTGGCCTTTACACCCTTCTCTCATTTTCCCTCACTCTCGTCCAGCCCCACTCCACACTCTGCCCTACACGCGCCTGCCACGGACAAACCCACAACGCAGCGTCCAGCGGGTGCAGCCCCTCACAGGGGTCTGGGCGAACACGCCACTTTCCTCCACGAAGCCCGGCCTGTAAGAATCCAACTCTCCTCTTGCCCCCACTGTCCCGTCCGGTCGAGGCGCCCCTCTGAGGAGACCTCCTAGTTGTCAACCGACCCCCAAGAACCAAGACGGCACACGTGGGTCATTCGAAATAGTACTCATACAGAACAAACTTCCACTTAGGTCAACTGTCCCGTTTCAACCGAAGAAAGTGGGCACACACAAGGGCGGAAATCCCCCCTAGGTCAGTCTAGGAAACGGGTCTACACGCCATTAACTGCCTCTTCCGCTCACCACCTGTTCACTATGTATTTGTTCCTTTCTCTCTCTCACCTCAGAGCCTCCGTAGAACCTTTCACAACGCCAAGATATTTTTCTCCTCCCCCAAACCTCAGGGTTAGGCGGACGGGAGTCAAAACAGCCCCGAGCAGCGTGTCAGACCAGTAGTAGGTCAGCGACTGGAAGACGAGTTTCCGTCGCCTCGCGCGAGCGCCCGCCGCGAGGATTCGGATCTCCCAGAGCAGCGTCAAGGCCCCGCCCCAAACACGCACTGCCCTGCCTTCACATTAGCATAGGTCCCGCCCCCACGCGGCCCGGGCGGAGCCAACTACACAATCTCCGCCTCTCCGTGGACACGCCCCCCCTGCGGACGTCCACAGACAGAAGTCGCATCCAATGAGGAGGAGAGGGCGGCCGCCATAGACCAATCGGCGGCCACCACACAAAGCCCGGCGCACCTAAATAGCTGACGCTACACGGCTGGCTTTCCGGATTTTTACGCGCGTCACTCCGACTCCCAAGAAGCAGGGTTTTAAGAAGGCAGCTGGAAGGGGCTCACCGGACAGGTGAGGCTGGGGTGGCCTCTGGCGTGGGCTTCCACTGCGGGGCTCCGAGGGGCACGGGGCGTCCACGGGAAGGCCGAGGGGAAAGGGGCGGAGAGCGGGCGAGCACGTGGACCGCCGGGTGAGGCATGGGTGGTGCGACGGGGCCTGAGATCTCGGCCTGGGCGGGCGCGCGGCGTTCTCGGGGTGACGGGAGCACGGGGAGCACGGGGGCGGGGCGGGGCGGAGGAGGGCTGTGGGGAGTGGGGTGTCCGAGAGTTGGACCCGAAGGAGGCCGGTCCCCATCCCCGAGATTGCAGGACCCGCCCAGCACCTGGCGGCGCCGCCTTGTTAAATTTCAGTGCGCAGCTCTCGGACCTGGAGAGACTCAGGCCGCGCGGGGCACCGTGCCGTCCCCAAGTTTTGCGGTCACCTGTAGCGAGGTGGTCACTCTGCCTGGGCAGCGGTGGAGCCGGCCAGCGAGGAGGCCGGCGTGGTGCTCGCCCTCCATCACCCTGGGAGGCCTGCACACCTGGTGCCGCAAAGCTCCCCCGCACGGCCAGCAGAGAGCCCGACTTCCTGGGGAAGACAGTGTTCCTGCTTTAAAATAACAATGGCAATTTAATTAAGGTACTATCCGGAAGCTAAACCTTTGGGGGTAGGATTCCTATTCCAACCCCCAGTGGTCGCTCTGGGTTGTTTTTTTTTTTTTTTTTCTGGATGTGTCTTTGCCACCGCCAGCTCTTTTTGTAAAAGCGGGGAGGAGGTGGGCATTGGGGCGGCCCACCTGGGAGCCCGGTAGCGCTGCTCGTGATGCGGCTTCCTGCTGAGGCGCCTGGGAGACAAGGTGGAATTCCTGGTAGATGTCTGCATGTGTATGTGAGTGTCATTTTTTAAAAATATAACTGCAGTGTCTTTAAATTCAAGCATAAATAGAAAACCTGAGAAATTTATACATATATAATTTTGTTTTCTCCTGTAAACACAACTCAACACAGCGTGTCCTCTTGCGGGCTCCTGCCCGCTGAGCTCGGGAAGTCATTTTGTGCCCGGTGTTACAGACAGGTGGGGTAGCCCTTGCACCTTGCAGAACGTGTGGCTTGAGAATTTCACTGCGTTCCCATGTTATGAACCCTGACATTGTTGGACTTATTATTATTATGAATTATTATTGGAGAGGCAGCTCAGATTTACAGAGAGAATGAGAGACAGAAAAATCTTCCACCCTCTGGATGGGAAGTGGAACAGCCAACTGGCTGTTGGACTGGCGCCCAAATAGGATCCAAGTGCTTGCAAGGTGAGGATATAGCCATTGAGCCATCGCGCCGAGCCAAGGGTGGTTTCTTTCTTTAATCACTACAGTGTGCAATGCAGTGTGGGTTGTTTGTTAAAATATTTTATTTGAAAGGCAGAGGGAAGAGGGACTGAGTCCGAGAGCTTCCATCTGCTGGTTCACTCCCCAAATGGCTGCAGCAGCCAGGGCTGCCTCAGGCCAAAGCCAGGAGCTCAACACTCTTATCTGGCCTGGTTCACAAGCCCTTCTGCAAGGAGCTGGGTCCCAAGGGGAGGCGCTAGGGCTCCTGCTGCTGGTGTCTGAGGAGAGCTCTCACCTGCTGTGCCACATGCTCTGACCCCTTTTAGAAGTGAGTTTGCAAGCATTGCACAACCAATAAAACAATTAGTAATGAAACCTCCCCCCAAAAAGTCTACTTATAGAACCTGTCATGACACAACCTAAACCACGGCTGGGCATCCCATGTGAGAGCAGGTTGAAGTTCTGCCTCACCCCACTTCCAGTGCAGCCACTTGGGAAAGCAGAGGCAGACAGCCCAGTATGTGAGCCCTTGCCACCCATGTCGGATATATCTCCTGTGCCGTCATATGCACTTAAATAGCAAAAATTTTTTTTAAGATTTATTTTTTTTAAAGATTTATTTTTAATATTTTTTTATTGGAAAGACGGATATACAGAGAGGAGAGACAGAGAGGAAGATCTTCCGTCCGATGATTCACTCTCCAAGTGAGCGCAATGGCCGATACTATGCCGTTCCGAAGCCAGGAGCCTCTTCCAGGTCTCCCACACGGGTGCAGGGTCCCAAAGCCTTGGGCCGTCCTCCACTGCTTTCCCAGGCCACAAGCAGGGAGCTGGATGGGAAGCGGGGCTGTTGGAATTAGAACTGGCGCTCATGGGATCCTGGTGCATTCAAAGCGAGGATTTAGCCGCTAGGCCACCGCATTGGGCCCACTAGTGGAATGTTAAACTCAAAACTGTTACTAAAGGGTTATACTACTGTAATAATATGGGGGCAGGGGATTTTGCCCAATGGTTAAATCCTCACCTTGCATACACCAGGATCCCATATGGGCACCGGCTCTTGTCCCTGGTGCTCCCTTCCCATCAAACTCCCTGCCTGTGGCCTGGGAAAGTAACAGAGGATGTCCCAAAGCCTTGGTATCCTACACTGGCATGGGAGACCTGGAAGAAGCTCCTGGCTTTGAATCAGATCAGCTCCAGCCCTTGCGGCACTTGAGGAGTGAACCAGCAGATTGAAGCTCTGTAAATCTGCCTTTCCAATAAAAATAAATCTTTTAAAAATAAATAAAAGAGCCAATTTTAAAAAATAAATCTTTTTAAAAAATAAAGTATAAAATAAATTTAAAACAGAAAAGTGTTTCGAAGGCTGTGCAGCCATTCCTGCTACCTAATTGTTGCTCCAAAAAAAAAACCCCAGTGGGCCCCCCTGGGTGAACCCCGATGGTTGGGCTCCAGCTGGGAGTACAGGCACTTGAGGTGCAGCCACAGACTAGTAACGGCCCAGGCGCCCCCTGACCCAGAGGGTTCCCAGTGGCAAGTGTCAGCCCACTCCAGGTTTTTCCCAGGAATGGCCAGGGCTTCCACCCTGGCATGAGTTCTGATGTTTCAGGGTCCTAGTGCAGCCAACAGTGGAGAGGCCTCCTGCCCACCAGGCTGTGGGCATGCCCCAGCCTCTGCCTTTTCACGTGCACAGCCCCTTTTCAAGGCCCCTTCTGGAACAGGGTGCTGGAGGACAGAGAGCCAGTGAGATCAGAATGCACAGGTCCTTGGAGCCAAAGGAAGCATCTGGGAGAACTGCACAATGCATGCTGCTCAAATGCAAGAAACTCCCAGGCCGAGGGGCCAGGCCGTCCTCCAGCTGAATGAAATTTTTTCCTTCAGAGAATCTAAAGCGAGGTCCTAGGGAGTTTCTCCAACTTCTAGACTTTGGGCAAGCAAAGTAGAACTGCCAGAAAGCAATGTAGCCCCTGGAAGCTTGGGGAAGCACTGTGAAAATGCTCCAGGAGCCCTCCCAGGTGAGGAATGAGGCTGTTAACTGGTCACCGGGGCAAGCCGGGACACACCCAGGAGCTGGGTGTGTTATTTCACAGGCAGGAACCAAATTACAGAGCTGCCTGGGCGCTACTCAGCCCTCTTGTGGGAACTTGTCAGAAGTTGGAAAAGCAGAAAATAGAGGATATAAAGGCTATATTTTCAGAATTGATCACTTTAAAGATGTTACTTCACAGTAGAGGGTGGGGCTATATGAGAGTCCATCAAAAACTTTACAGAAATGAAAGAAAAATGTTTTTGGGCCCGCCATGGTAAGCTAGTGGCTAAAGTCCTTGCTATGTACGAGCCAGGATCTCGTATGGGCACCGTTCTAATCCCGGCTGCCCCACTTTTCATCCAGCTCCCTGCTTGTGGCCTTGGGACCCAGCACCTGTGTGGAAGACCTAGAAGAAGCTTCGGATGGGCTCAGCTCCAGCTGCTGCAGCCACTTGGGGAGTGAATCAGTGGACAGAAGACCTTCCTCTCTGTCTCTCCTCTCTGTATATCTGACTTTGCAATAAAAATAAAATGAATCTTAAAAAAAAAAAATTGGTGCTCGCTTCGACAACACATATACTAAAATTAGAACAATACAGAGAAGATTAACATGTCCCCTGCGCAAGGATGACACGCAAATTCGTGGGAAAAAATTGCCCTCAGTGCAGTAGCTTAGTGGTTGAGTCCTCACCTTGCATGTGCCAGGATCCTGTATGGGCACCGATTCGTATCCCGGCTGCTTCACTTCCCACGCCAGTGCAGGGTCCCAAGGCTTGGGGTCACCCTCTACTGCTTTTCCAGGCCACAAACAGGAAGCTGGATGGGAAGCAGGACCACCGGGATTAGAACCAGTGCCCATATGGGGTCCTGGCGTGTGCAAGGCAAGGACTTTAACCCCTATGCTATTGTGCCAGGCCCTCCATGAAGTTTTCTAAAGCCCCTGCATGTGTGGGTTTCTTTCATCTGTTTGTGTATTTATTTTGGCATTATTAGTTTGAAAGGCAACGTGCAGTTCTTCACCCAGTTGTTTATCCCCCAAGTGCCCGCATCAGTGAGGCCTGACCTCAGGCTGGTTCTCCCCCAAGGGCGCAAGAACCCAAGGACGGGAACCGCTGCCTTTCAGCGTGTGCCTTAACAGGAAGCTCGATCCGAAGTGGGGCGGGAACTCCAAACCAAGCGCTGCAGAAAGGGACGCAGGCAGCTTCCCTGTTGTCCTAAACAGCCCATGCCACACGTGGGTCTCAAGAGAATGTATACCAAAGTCAGTATGTTTTTAACTCCATGTCCCACAAGGGAACCCTTGTGTACCGCCGTCTGCCAAACACACACCTGCTTAGACAACGCGATGGGGAGAAAGATTCTCAGAAGCATTCGGCCTGACAGGCTGTTTATCACTTAGATGTTGAAGGAGCACAGCAGAATTGCTTTCCAGGGGGTGCTGTCCCCAGATGACGGGTGGTCTGCCTGTCCAAGGGCTTGATCATGGCCAGTGTGGAGGTGATAATAAGGGTGGTGGTAGCAGGGTTAGACAGAAGGTGGTTGAGTCTTCTTAACTGCATTTTTCCTAGTTTTCATTTTTATCTTACAAGAAGCCAACCCGGATCACTTTGTTGTGAAATTTTGATAGCGGCTTGCTGTGTGAAACCTCAGAACGAAATGCTGCTGAAAACGGGAAAATACTTAAATACACGTTGACCCAAATGAGTACTTAAGAAACAGTGGTTTCAGTGCTGCCCACCTGCTGTGCAGTGTTTTTGTGTAAATCCCCTCTTTCCTCCTGATTATGAATTTCAGAGTGTTTTGTGTCAGCATGCTGTGCCTCGGTGGTAGCATCTGAAAAAGCATAAACTCTAACAGTTCCCCCTTAATTTCTTTTATGTTGATGCCAGAAAAGACACCTTTATAGTCCTGGTTAAGTACAGATGCTGTTCCATGAAGCCGATAGCAAAAAGACCAGTTTTCTTTTTTAAGATTTTTTTTTTTTTATTGGAAAGGTGGATATACAGACAGGAGGAGAGATGGAGAAAATCTGTCTGATGGTTCACTCCCCGAGGGGCCACAACGGGCAGAGCTGAGCCAGTGCAAAGCCAGGAGCCAGGAACTTCTTCCAGGTTTCCTGCAGAATCCTAACACTTTGGGCTGTTCTTGACTGCTTTCCCAGGCTATAGGCAGGAGCTGGATGGGAAGCGAGGCTGCAGGGATTATGGGATCCTGGCATGTTCAAGGCAAGGACTCTAACTGCTAGGCTATTGAGCCGGGCCCTGCTTTTGTTGTTTCTTGTTTTGTTTTGTTTTTGCATTTACAGGGAGAAGCAGAGATAGAAAGATCTTCCATCCACTGGTTCACTCCCCAAATGGCCACAATAGCCAGAGCTGCACTGATCCGAAGCCAGGAATTTTCCAGGTCTCCTACTTGGATGCAGGGTCCCAAGGCTTGGGGCCACCCTCCACTGCTTTCCAAGGCCACAAAAAGGGAGCTGGATGGAAGCAAGGCTGCTGGGATTAGAACCGGCACCCATATGGGATCCCAGTGTGTTTAAGGCGAGGACTCTAGCCACTAGGCTACTGCACCAGGTCCTCCCTGCACCGTTTTAAGGGCAGCTTTTTAGTCTTTTGCCATTAAGTAATGTGCCTGGGAAGCAACCAATGGTTTAAGTGCTGAAGTCTCTGCACTCAGCATGGGAGAGTTTCTGGCTTCAGTTTAGCCCAGTCCTGGCCAATGTGGCCATTTGGGGGAGTAACTCAGTCGTGGTAAGGTCTCCGTTCCTTGGGACAGAGCCCCAGCCCGGCAGCTGAGAGTAACAAGAAAGACCCAGGGAAGGTGTTGGCCAAGCACGGGAGCCTTGGCAGTGGCATGGATGCTGAGCTGTGTGAGTGTCAGCATGTACACAGCCCACGATGTGGCTCTGTTTTTCCCTTCTAGGAACAAGAATGAATAAAAGAGGCTGGCAGAGCAGGAGGGGACACGGGAGAAGCCGCTACCAGCACAACCCTTGCTTGAGACAACGCGAGTTGAACGAAAGGCAAGTGTGCCCTGGTACTGCTCCTAGCGTCACCCCAAGGTGGTCTCGCCCCTGTGCATCCCTGGGGGCTGGTCAGAATGCAGATTCTAAAGCCATGGGCCTAAGGTGGGGCCTGTCCCTGCTGCTGTCTGCCCCCAAGCCTGAGCAGGGCTGTACTTGGGGCTCCAGTTTAGAGCACTTGCTGCGAAGCTCCTCCTGAGGGAGACCTGCTGCTTTGTTTGTTGATTTAAAATTTTTCAGTCAAATACCTCTCAGGAATTCATTTTTTTTTTTTAGCTTCCCCTGGAAAAGGATATGTAAACATACATGTATGACTACATAGGACACATGACATGTGTTTGTGTGGTATATAAATGTAATATAGGAAATACCGTATTTAATGTTCACCGAAGTGCATGTGCACTCTGTGACAATGCAGGGAATGCTGAGCACCCACTACATACAGCCCAGGTGGTAGGTCCGTCGGAGACCCCACAGTAAACATGTTCCGGATTCTACCTGGGATTCCGCATGAGGCGGGTGCAGGTGCTTTCATCTCAACAGGAAGCCCCATTCTGCACCCGAGCAGAGGACCGCTCCACAGGTGGGAGGTTGCTTTGCATTTGTGGCAAGAGTCTACACAGCCTTCAGTTTGGCATGCAGCTTGTCATCAAAGTGAACATTTTTGCAAGTTTCCAGACTCCCTCACTCCAGACCCCAGAAAGGACAGATTTCTGAGCATTGTCCAGATGTTTCTGTAGAACAGATAGATCAACCAAGGCAGGTGTTTGGCATGTGGTGAAGATAACAGTTGGAGCACCTACACCCCATGTCCAAGTACCTGGGTTCATATGCTGGCCCTACTCCCAAGTCTAGACTCCTGTTCACACACACCCCAGGAGACAAGGGCTCAGGTTCCTGCCACCCACACGGGAGACCCCCAAGCAGTTGCCCTGGCTTCAGTCTGCACTGCCCCAGCTGTTGGGACACTTGGGGGTATATCATTGTACTCTTCATTGCTTTAACTAAAATACCTGAGAGAAGCATCTTTTGGAAAGGTTGGTTTCAGCTTACAGTAGGAGCTGAAGAACCAGGTGGCTCTGTCTTCCAGTTGCTAGTGGAGGCCCCTCATGGAGGGTGTGAGGCGTGTTCACCTGGTGAGTCAGGAGCAGGCACCCCAAAGACTTCCCATCAGTCCCATCGCCTCGGACTAAGTCTCTACCCTCAGTCCTTCAGCCATTAATCAAATATAGAACTTTAAATATCTGCTTGAGTTTGGTTGTTGCAGGGGGGACAGGTTGTGCTGTACCATAACAGAGAAGATCTTCTGTCCGATGATTCATTCCCCAAGTGGCCACAACGGCTGGTGCTGCGCCAATCTGGAGCCAGGATCCAGGAACTTCTTTCCGGGTCTCCCATGTGGCTGCAGGGTTCCAAGGCTTTGGACCGTCCTTGACTGCTTTCCCAGGCCACAACCAGGGAACTGGATGGGAAGTGGAGCTGTCGGAATTAGAACCGGCGCCCATGTGGGATCACAGTGTATTCAAGGGGAGGACCTTTACCATTACACAATGCCAGGCCTTCAAATAATTTTTTTTTAATAAGAGCAGATAGACCCAAACAAAAAAAGTATCTGGAGATTATGAAAAGAGTAAGGATTTAGTTTTGGTTGAGCAACCTGCTTTCCTCAACACGCTGAGTTGCTGTTTCTTCCTGTACTCGGCAAGCATGGTCCCAGCTCTGGCAGTCACGTGTACTGCCCTCACCAGGCCTCCACGGGTACAGATGCCCAGCCTTGACCCACATTGTTGAAAGATCAGCACAGGGCTTAGGGTCTGCGTGTTTGGAAGAAAACCATGGCTACTGGTGAGACTCCAGGCCTTTCCATGAGAACAGAGTGTGGAGCAAAATACCGTCTGTCCAGAAGTGCGTCCTGGGCCGGCTCGGGACCTGCTGGGCAGTGACTTGCTGGGACCAGTGTGAGAGCAGCGGAGCTGCAGTCCTCAGGCTGAAGGCATGCCTGCTTGTCAGACCCTGGGGCCTGCCCCTGCAACTCCGCCTAGCAGTAGTGTTTCTAGAAAAGAAACCACTTTCTTCCCATCCCTTCAGCCCTTTTGGGGTGTGTGTCAGGAGGCAGTGTGTGCCCGTGGGACGCCTCAGGACTTGGGTACACCTGTGAGCTCCTTAGTCTCATCGGATCATCCAGTGTGCAGTTTCCACAGGAGCCACACGCGCCTTTGTAAGGCTGGAGTGTTAACTATGGCGCGCTCTCAGAACAACGGAGCGCCTGACCTCTGTGCCTCTCGCCCCAGGGTCTCTGCAAGGAGGCTGGGTAGCCAAGAAAAGTCTCAGCTCTTTGTTCTTGCAGATCCAATAAGCAGTGGCACTCCCCTGGCCTTGTAACTGCTGTTGAGCTGACAAAAGAGCTCAGCTGGTAAACTTCTTACTGGCAAAGACTTCTAGAAAATTCCCAAAGAGCTTAGAAAATGCTGAAGTGAAGGAGTGAGAAGAGAGAATAACTCTGATGTTCACCTGCTACACAAGGGGTATAGGAGAGACTCAAGACAGCCTCCACTTTGGGGTCCGCAGTGGGATAATGTGCCCCAAAGGAACCCATTCTAAGGGACCCAGGTGGGGGTCTGCAGAACTGTTTGAATGGCCCCAGCCTCTAGTCAGGGACTGGCCAGACCCTCAGTACCCATCCCCGCCAAGTGACCGTCGTTTGTGTCAGCAGACGTCACACGGAGGCTCCAGAGAGCCAGGATCCTGGCCCCAGCAATGCCGAGTCCCCATCCACCTCGTCCACCTGTGCAGGGAGTTCCGTGCCAGGTAAGGCTGCGTGCCTCCTGGGGCCGGCCTGGCCCTTGCCCGCGGGGAAGAGCTGACCCTCATCTCTGCCCTCTCTCTCTGTGGCTGCTTCTTAGCCAGGGCTGGGACACACGTTCCTGGCCTGATGGGAATTCTGGGAACAAGTGGAAGGAAACTGTGATTCCTGAGGCATGTGGTCTGCATTGGGACTGAACTGGGTCCAGGAGACAGGGACAGTGGCAGGCCCCGGACTCCTTCCCACGTGGATCAGCCCACGGCAGCATCGTCCATTGGCTTATTCATTGTTTTGTCTATAAAGAGCTGCCGGGGTTTTACTTTGATCCTGAGAAGAACCGCTACTTCCGCCTGCTGCCCGGAAATAACAACTGCAACCCCCTCACACTGGAGGGCATCCGCCTGAAGGAGATGGAGATGAGACGGCTGCTGCTGCTAAAGGAGGAGGAAAAACAGGAAAAGGTGGGCTCTGCACCTGGGGCAGTGCCACCCACAGCCAACAAGAGGTGCCACGTGAACACCCCTAGTGTGCAGCGCATGGGCGTTCAGGGTGGGTAGCCCCAGAGCCTCCCTGGCAGGAAGGTGACCGAGAGGGAAAGAAGAGGCCCGAAGGCTCCTGCCCCCACCTCCACCCCTTTCTCCTGCATTCTCAATGTCAGTGCCCTGCTACCTTGGAACCCTTGAACCCATAGAACCCTTGGAGGCAGCCTGGCATAATTCTAATAACTGCCCTCTCTTAGATGTGGATGCCAGGCTACCATGTTTGTGGGCAGTAAAGGGGGACTTCTGGGGGTGGCTGCCATTGTGGGTGAAGTGAAAGCACCAAACAACCCTTGGGGGATCCTGTCCCACTGCCGCACTCTCCACATGGGGACATCACCCCCCTCGGCTGTGCCCATCCTACACCTGCTCAGGCTGGCCTTCCATCTGCCAACAACACTTACAGAACACGCAGTCCAGTTTGGCTGCGAGGAGTTTCTGCCAGTCCAGGAGAAGGTTACTTTCGTTGTACCCTACGCAGCTAAAACGTCTCAGTTAATTCTATAACCTAAAAGGCATCCTTATTGAGTTGTTTTCTTTAATCCTAGAAAACAGCCAGAAAGGGGTTTAATGCATCTTCCTTCCTCCAAAAACGCCAGCTGGGTTTTTTCAATGTCACCAGTTACTGCCGGTAAGACGATGGCTTGTTATGTTTTCTTCATGCACACATGCTCTTTCCTGTCTTCCTCCCATCCTGTGGGATCGCACTCGGACAGCTCCGTTAGAGAAGGACTGTGCGCCATCTGCACAGTTGGGGGTGTCGGGGCAGTCTGCCTGCGCTTCAACCTGACCTGAGAACTAGTGGGAGAGAGGGGCGGGGTTCAGACAGAAACTGCAGTGTTGACTGTGTGTGTGTGCGCCTGTAGTCATCGGCACAGCTTCAGGGTGCTGAACTGGGCTTGATCAGAGTAGTTGTGATATAATTCTAAATAAAACCCAGTGCAAGAACTGCTAGTTCTCGGTTGCTGAAGAGACTGGGGCTCAGAGTGACAGCTCACAGTGGATTCTTGAAGGTGGATTCTCTGTGATGGTCTGCCACCTCCTACCCAGGAGTGAGGCGGCTTCCTGAGGCACAGCTGGTCCCGTCAGTGGGGGCTAGTGCCCCTGGCCAGCAGGGCAGGTGCCCCAGGGTTTCCTTCTTGGGGCGTATCCTGCTCGGCTCCACTGCTGGGAAGTTCAGTGGTGAGATGGTGTTGGGGTGGCAAAGGGCGGAGGCTCCGGCGTCCTGCTGGGCATCCAGCTGAGGCCCGTTTCCCTCTGCAGTTTGGCGCACGAGCTGCGGCTGAGCTGCATGCAGAGGAAGAAGGTCCAGATCCAGAGCTCAGACCCCTCCGCTCTGGCGAGTGACCGATTTAACCTCATCCTGGTGAGTGGGAGGGCACTGTGGATGCCAGAGCGTGGCCGCTATCCCCGGCGCCTCCTGGCTCACTGCTGGCAGCCAGACCTGGCTGTGCAGAAGCCAGTGGCAGTAGAAGCTGTGAAGCCAGTTTTTAGTTGTGATTTTAACCCATGGGAATGTCACATGTTGGGGTCAAGTCCACCCCCACTTGTCACACACTGAGTAAGAACCGGTATGGTTGTGTTGTGTGTACAGCTGAAAAGGTGCCCAAGGGACAAGGGACTTCTCACCCTGCCCACCTGGGGCAGGCTGGCGAGCCTGAAGCTCCATTGTGCCCTCAGTGGTAGCAGAGTCTGACCCCCTTGCCTTCTGGCCCCCACCCCTCCCTGGTGGCAGGGTCCTGCCCATCAGCATACCCCCCTCACATCATTTGCAAGGAGTGCAAAATCAGCTTAAGGTTACATGTGGGCTGCAAGAGAACAGGGGCCGGGGAGCCAAAAGGTCAGCTACAAACAAAGGGAACCACGGATATGTGGCTTTTGCTTTGAAATGACTATTAGCCACTTTAAAAAGTATATTTACTTGAGAGAGCTGGCACATTCATCCACTGTTTTACTCCTCAAATGCCTGTGGTGGCCAAGGCTGGGCCAGGCCGAAGCCAAAAGCTGGGGAAGTCAGCCCAGGTCTCCCCTGTGGCTGGCGGGCACCCAACCACTCGGGCTGTTACGTTCATGTTAGCATCATTGACCTGCCTCCCAGGGTGTGTGTTAACAGGAAGCTGGGCCGGAAAGCCATCTCTGGACACCCAGCCCCGACACTCTGGTGTGTGACGTGGGCATCTTAAATGCTAAGGCCAAATGCTCATCCCCAAGTTATTGCTGAATTGAAAAAAAAAAATTGTCTCCACCCTATTGTCGTTTTTCTCTGTTGTACTTCCTAGGCAGTATGCTGACTCTATTGCTAGTAACCTTACTGCCTGTGTAGCAGGAAGAGAATTCTGTATCCTAGCAATTACAACTGGCATTCTCACTGCTGCTATGTCACTCGCACCAGGGACACGTGCCATGTTCCTCCAGGCCAACTTGAGACTCTCCCAAACCCGGGTCTGAGGGAGGGGTTGCCGAGAACTCACACCTGTTGGCCACACCCCTCTATGTTGTCCTCATTCCCACTCCTGAAGTGAAGTGATGGGTCTGAGACAAGGGCTCAAGGATGGTGGCTGTGCCACGGAGGAGCTACTCAGCTCATCTTCACTCTTTCTTATGGCCAGGAATTCTCAGCCGGGGAAAATACAGAGTGTAGGGGCTGGGAGAGAGGAGCGGGTAGTCTCTGGCAACCTACCTGGATCACCCCGGAAGGTCACCTTTGGCCTGCTTCCCCCACCAGGCGGATACCAGTAGCAGCCGGCTCTTCACAGTTAATGACGTCAGAGTCGGAGGCTCCAAGTACGGCATTATGAGCCTGCACGGTCTGAAGCCGCTCACACCACAGGTGCACATGCATGAAAACCTCTACTTCACCAACCGGAAGGTGCGTCGCCCTCGTCTGTGGCCTGCAGCCCACTGTACCTTTCCATCCATGGGCACTGCCCTGGATGGCTAAATTCAGGAGGAAAAAGAGGAACCCTGTCATGAGAGCGGGGCACCGTTACCTAATGCTCCCAAGGGACATCTGGATTTTTACTGCCCATGACAGCATGAAGGCCCAGGGGCTTTCCTGTTTTGGAAGACACAATTGGTAGGGCTGGTCGGGCTGGGCTCTGGGCGGTGCTGCTCTAGCCAGTAAACAGGACCTCTCCCTCCAGGAGGTTCAGGAGCTGCTCCGGAGGGACCCCTGTCGTGGCCCGGGTTCCTGGGATGCAGTGACCATGGCCTGAGGGAGGGCCCATTGGCTGTGCACCTGGACGTGACTGAGCCAGTCAGTCTGTGGCCAGAGCTTGCCATCTGCGGGAACAACAGCCGAAAGAAGCTGCATGCTTCAGTTCCCGTAGCACGAGTCATGCAGAAGACCCAGGCTGATTTCTCTGTTTTCATCTCAGATAAGATCTGCCCATCTGAGCTAATTTCACTTTTCTAGAGTGAGAACTAATGTGCATATTTTATTATTTATTTCTGAAGATTCCCTAGAGACCAGGAAAATGAAATGAGAGGAAGCCAGCCACACATGCTGAGGGTGGTTACTGGTTATAGATCGGATAAGCGGGCATCTCACCGAGTGACCTGACAGCTCCAAGGCACAAGTGTTGACCCTGGCAGGGCTGGCTCTGAGTGGAAGTACAGCACCTGGGACTGCTCACGCAGTGTGCCTCTGCGCACCCTGCGGGATCTCCCTGCTGGGTTAAGGGGTTCACAGGAGGATGGACTCTGCAGCTGAAGTCTCCTCGTGGTCAGGGCACTTTGGTCTCTGCGCAGAGCTGAGGGAGGCGTATGTGCCCATCATAAGGCATCGTCTTTTCTCCTCCTGGACTGAGAGAGATGGAGATCGAGTGAGTCGTTTCTGAGTGAAGGGAGGCTCGGTGCACCTGCTGGCAGCTTCCTCCCTGTCACTGGAGAGGGTGCAGCTGGGCACAGCGACATATCAGATCCCTCAGTGTGGGTACCTCATGGTGACCTCTCAATGCCCCACCTAGGGCCATGTCATGCCTGTTAGCAGGGCAGTGAGATCGCGTCTTACAAGCCATGCAGCCTGAGGAAGGAAGTTAGTGTATATCTCTCCCAGGCCGTTCCCTGGGCACTTTGCTGTTTCTCTCCATCCTGTCCTGTGTTTCCTCACCAGGTGAACTCCGTGTGCTGGGCCTCGCTGAATCATCTGGATTCCCACATTCTGTATCCTTTGGCACTCAGAGATGGTTGGGGGGCAGCTGTGCCCCGCTTGGGCCTGAGCACCCTCCTGTTGCAAGATGGCTTTTTGGTGGCAGGAGACTAGACTTTCACACTGTGTTTTGTCCTGCAGAAGAAAGTGGAGCAGGAACAAAACCATTGCTGTGCAGCACAGAGCAGTCGGGCTCTCTGATGGCTGACACTAATGCTCCCGAGTGCCAGACACTCTTCTGGAACACCACATGTTACGTGGTAGAGACAGGTTTGGGCCTTGGGCAGTGTGGCTCCCGAGCTTGCTCTTCCACTGTGCCTGTGGCCTCCAGTCCTGGGACTGTGGACATGCCCAGCAGCCAGGCCTGAGGGTTGGTGCTCTAGAAGAGAGGCGGCAGAAAGGAACAGCGCAGCCATGGAAGGAGCCCTGAATCCTAAGGCCCAGGTGGGAAACATGGCTCTGCGGGTCCCAGTGCCCAGGCTGCCTGCCAGCCGTGGCTTTTCTGAGAGGCCTCCTCACCTCGTTCTGGCCTCTGTCTTGCACACAGGCGTCGGGGGAATTTACCAGGAGCACAGTAGTGTCAGTAGTGTAGTATCACGGGGTCTGGACTCTTCTGGAAATAAGGGGAAGAGGCAGGGCACACTTGATACTCCACGGGATTTATTTGATCTTTAGCCAAAGCCATGTTCATGGTTCTTGTCCTTGGTTCATTCCCATAATAAATGAGTTCAGGAAATTGCATGCTTTCATTGTACTTAACACTGACCTCACACATGGTCATGGGTTAACTGTGTGCAGGCACGTAGCACAGTTTCTCGTACATTGTCATTCCTAACAAATGACAGCACTGAGAATGGAACCATTTGTTTCACAGCCCTGCACTTCAGAGGATTTTAAAATTTTAAGTACACTGGTGATCTGATAATGCATTTTATTGAAGTGAGCTTGTGTTTGGCCTAGCCGTGATCCACACAGTGCCTGGGTTCGACGCCTGGCCCTGGCTCCTGACTCCGGCATCCTGCTAATGCAGACCCTGGAGGACAGCAGGGATGACTCAAGTAATTGGGTTCCTGCCACCCCCATGGGAGACCTGGACGGAGTTCCCAACTCCTGGCTTCAGCCTGGCCTGACCCTACCTATGGCCAGCATTTAGTGACAAGAGAAGTCTAAGGAAGGGGCTCTGAGAGGGTGGCAGGTTGGAACTGAAGAGCCAGGAACCTAGCGCTACCTCAGGTGGGCTGCACAGCCACAGAGCAGGACCAGAACCTGAACCTTAAGTCCGAAAAGTAGAATGTCAGGCCTGAATTCATTGGGTTGAAGAGTAAGAGGTAAGGAAGTAGGCTAAGCAGGGATCCTCTAGGCAGAAGCGGTATTGATGAGGGTGGCAAGGATTGTCACCTCTGTGTCGCAGGGTGGTCCTCGGCAGGAAGCTGGGACAGGAAGCAGAACCTGGAGGTGAACCCAGATGCTCTGATAGGGATGGGGTGTTGAAAGCTGCAGATTAACCTCTGTGTCGAATGTCTGCCTCTCTGTCATTTTATAACCCTTCCAGAGAGCAAACATTTGGGACTGGCATTGTGGCATAGCAAATAAAGCTGCCGCCAGTAGCACTGGCATCCCATATGGGCAGCAGAGGATGACCCAAGTGTTTGGGGCCCTGCCATTCTCCTGAGAGACCAGGATGAAGCTCCTGGCTTCAGCCTGGAACAGCCCTGGTTGTTGTAGCCACCTAGGGAGTGAATGAATAGATAAAAGATTCTAACTCTGGCTTTAAAAAAAAAATTAAGAAAAGATAAATAGAAATGCAAAGGGCTGATCACTGGCAAGGGTGGGAAGTCAGAAGTACTGGTGTAAGTAAATGAATGTGCTCACGTTGCCGTTGATGGGGTCAGTTCCTGGGCCTTGCAGGTCTACCCTTACTGCAGGAACCTGACTAGAAGAGAACAGTTGTATTTAGGGTCAGGATAGATTATTTGTGGAGCATTCAGTCCATGTATGTTGTGTTTACATGAGGCTTTTGCCATGGGTTAAACAGCCACTGCCCTACAGAGCTCACGCCCGTGGCAGTGCGACACAGGGACAGGGAGCTGCTCATCCCAGTGGTGGAGCAACAAGGTAGCACGCCCCAGGTGCTGTCGGCCACCAGTTGGGGACCTCGTGTTGCTTGCAGAAGGCTATCCTGTGGTGGCAAGGAGGGACCAGGGGACACGTGTGTCAGCACGGGAGACAGCAGTGCCTAGAAAGTGAGGGAAGACTCTGGTGCTTTTGCCTGCATTTAAAAACAAGCAAGGTGTGTTGTGTTGCTGATGGGCAAGAAGCCCTGGGGGACGGGGCCCTAGGGACCTTGCCCCAGTTTGAGAACAGCAGTTCTCTGCACAAATGGGAAGGGGGACTAGGACGGGAAGGGCCAGGGAGCGTGTCGCACTATCAGGATCTCCTGCAGCACTTGTGGGATGGATGCAAGCGAGTCACAGCTGGGTCTGTCCCCTCTGTGTTTTTGCCATTGCTCAGACTGTCCCACTGCCTCCTCCCCTGCCTCAGGAGAGCCTCATATCTGACTGTCCTTAACAACTTTGTCCAGGTTGTGCCTCATGGGGCTCGCAGAGACCCCAGGCTGTGCTACTCTGCTGCCTGCATCCCTGTTTGTCAGCAGTCACCCAGGTACATGGCCCTCAGCTCCAGCAGCAGCCCCTGCTCTGTGCCAGGTTTCTGTCCTTTGCGTTCCGACTCGGGGAGCCTGGTGCAAGAGCTCAGGGCTGCTGTAAAGAATGGGGAGGGTTCCCAGAGCAGCCAAGGGTTTCTGCCCCCTCCTCTACCCTGCCACAGCATGGCTGAAATGTGCACACGGGTGTGTGTATTTGTGTCTGGTTGCCTGCATGGATGCTTCAGAAAGCCTCCGTTACATTTCTGCCGTCTCTGGGCACTGTAGGGGACTTAGACGCTGCCCATCTAAAGGCAGTCTGACTGCTTCTTGGCACTGTTTTGGATATGAAGTTCCTAGCCTATGGGACCCGGGATCAATAAGACAAACGAGGGCAGGTCTAGGTGGACCTACCCCCACCACCACCTCCAGGCTTGAACATATTGGCTGCCTCTGAGGCTACGAACCCTGAGCCCAAGGCCTGACACACCGTCTCCCCAGCAGGCTCTAACCACGCTTCATGGATGAGGCCACTGGGGCAAAGCCAGCATCAGAACGTACCTCACAAAAACCACTTTTAGTGTTAGATGTCTGGAGAGCTGAGGAGGACCTGGGGACAGAGCAGTTGGGAAAGGGACATGAGGGAGCTTCAGGTGCCTGCAGCGCTGGTTCAGCCTGGGCAGTGGGAACCACCTCCTTGAACTCCGACCCAACAGCATGTACCCTTTACCAGTGTTCATTGTTTTTTTGGGGGTTTCCTTGACTGGCAGGCCCCAAAACCACCAAGAGGTGATGCGACGGTGTTCAGTAGCAGCAAGAACCACTAGAGACAGTCTGGTCGAGCATGTCCATTTATTGTAATGCAAACACAAACTTACATAGACTAAGAAAAGGGGAAGGCAGAAGAGCGTCTCCTGACCATCCTCCCACCCAACAATGGCACTGTAATTGGCTAGGAGACATATCTGTCTCTCGGGACCCTCCAGTCACGTTACAGGTCACGTGCAACACTCATGGCTGGCAGGTAGGCTGTGGGTCACGTATACCAAGTAGGCTAGCAGGTAACGTGGCCCACACCTGACTTCTTATAGTTGCTTATCAAGGAGGTCCCAGCACAGCTCATCTAAGGACAGAGAAGAGACTGGGGTGCAGCCCACTTTCCTCACCTGTATGACCATTGATGAGGCCAGTTTGAAGTCTTGGTGAGCCAAGTCTGTTGTTGGGGAGGGTTCTTCCAGGACACATTGTGTCACGTACCTATGACCTCCGGCACAGGCCAAGCAAGCAGAGACCGGCAGCCATTTCCCAGAGTTTTTGAAATTGTCTCCCTTTGAGTCGCACAGTTGGAAGTCGTCTGGGTGGGACACCACCTGCCTCCCGACTGTACTAGTGAGCCATGAGGAATGGTAGCAAGAACAGCCACTTCCCTCAGTTGACCATGTGATTTTTAGTATATGAATTCCTCGTATCATGTTCAGATCAGGACAAGCGTGTCCGTGTCCTCCAGCATCTGTCATTTTGTGGCAAAGACAATCAGAATCCTTTCTGCTCATTCTTGGAGCTACACAGTGCATCCTCCCTGTCGACCTGCCCTTCTCCTGTCTTACTGCCTGAGCATCCAGTGATCAGCCATTCCCTATCACTCCCCCGACCCTCTGCTCACTCTGCCCCAGCTCCAGGAAGTACCTCCATTCTCTTGGCTGCCATGAGACCGACTTGTTTGGTTCCCACAGATGGACAAGGCCATACGATTCTTGCTTTTCACTGCCTCACTCCTTCTGCTTAACGTACCAACCTTGTGCAAGAATAACCACTTCTGAGCCTGGCACCCTGGCTGAGGCTCTCCCTCCTGCTATCAGAAAACCCAGAAACAGGCCAGGTAGAGCGCCTATCCTGGTCTGCTCTCTGTTGCTGTAACTCACAGGGTAAATGGGAGGTCAGGATTGTGGCAGTTGCATCTGGAAAAGGCTCTCTAATGATGGTATACCATGCCAGAGGGCCCTGGAGTAAGGTCTCTGTTGCCGTCCTGGGGCCCCACACTCATCATCCAGGGTAACCTCCACTGCCTCCCAGTGAACCCACTTCCAGATACCATCAACAGAAGATTTTGGTGGAATTTGGCAGATATGGGTTCTGAGGGGGCCAACGGACCAAGTGGCGCCTCCTGCTGGTTCCCCCACCCTGAGGATAGCCTGCTGTGTCTTCTCTCGGCAGGGGACCGACCTGGCATGCTGTGCAGCTTCCGCATCCCCGGTGCATGGTCCTGTGCCTGGTCCTTGAACATCCAGGCGAATAACTGCTTCAGTACCGGTGAGCCACGGCTGCCTGTCTGGGGCCCTGGGTGAAGGTACCGGGGCTCCAGATCCCACCAGCAGCCACTCGCCCTCGACTCACTGGCACAGTCTCTCTCTGCCAGGTTTATCTCGGCGCGTCCTGTTGACCAACGTGGTGACGGGACACCGGCAGACATACGGGACTAACAGTGACGTCCTGGCGCAGCAGTTTGCTCTCCTGGTAGGTTAGCTGAGACAGAAGGTCCCAATTTCCCTGCAGTGGAGGGGGTTTGCTGGACTGAGTCAAGGACCCCCGAGCAGCATTTAGACCACCCTTTGTCACTGGGGAAAGGGAGCCTGGGACAGCACCAGTGTGTTGCTTTGTGACCCTCTGAGCTGGATGCAAGTTGACGCCTGCAGAAAGGCCTGCCACAGCTGGCTTTAGAAGTTCCTGTCTAAATGAACTGGTAACCATTTCTGAGAACATGGATTAGTTAACAAGGCTGTTTCCACAATGTGTGAACAAAGTACCAAGTCAGAACACTTAATATTTTCCTATACAGTTTCCAAGTTATGCACTTAGATATGTTCAACTCTGTTTGAAAGCTCTGTCCTATAGAAAGGGCCATCTTTAAAGCCTGGGTGGGAACAGTGCTGACCTACAAGCTTGGGGCCACTCCAGCCATCCCGCCTCCCTCTCTAGCTGGGACACTGGATCGCTCCTATGCCATGCCCACCGCCCCAGCCTCTAACCCAAGGCCTTGCTGCAGGCAGCACTTGGCATTTGGCTCTGCAGGATTAGCCCAGGGGCCATGCTGGCTCTTGTTCCCCCACCTGTCTACAATGACTCCTCTGCCTTCCAAGTTCATTGAGAGCCAACCCTGGTGGCCCCATCTCCACCGCCACCTCTTGAGCTGAGGGCTGGGCCAGGAGAGGGAGTGTCCCAGAGGACCCCGCCTTACCAGTCCCTCCTTCCACAGACTCCACTGCTGTTTAATGGCTGTCGTTCAGGGGAGATTTTTGCCATTGATCTACGTTGCCCTAGCCAGGGCAGTGGCTGGAAGGCTACCCGTCTGTTCCATGACTCGGCAGTGACCTCAGTGCGAATCCTCCAGGAAGAACAGTGCCTGATGGCATCGGACATGGCTGGGAAGGTGAGGGGCACCGACTCCCCACCTCAGGTAGGGCAAGCTGTCTGACCGGGGAACACGTTGGCTGTGCACACGCACGAGCCTGCCTGAGAAGTGGACAGGATCCTGTGAGTGTCCTCTCTGCATGGACTTCAGATGCCTGAAGAAGCCACTGGAGACCAGCTCGCCTTCAACCAAGGGGCTGCTCCAGTTGACCTGGTGGCCCCTCGCCCACTACCTCTCCTGCTTTTCCCCACAGATCAAGCTGTGGGACCTGCGGTCCACCAAGTGCCTCCGGGAATATGAAGGTCACGTGAATGAGTATGCCTACTTGCCCCTGCACGTGCATGAGGAAGAGGAGATCCTGGTGGCAGGTGCTTGGGCAGGGGGGACTCCATCCCCGCAGAGGGAGAAGTTAAACCAAAACCAAAGCTGAGAAAAGGGGTATGCAGTGAAGTGGGGAGACAAAGGGGAGGTAGAGGCAAGAGTTTGAGGGGACAGTAGTCGGGCAGTCCTCTGTGTGCACTCAAACGGGAAATGCAGTGAAACGAAGCCACTCAGGCCAGTGCCATCCCCTCCTGCTGTGCTGGGCTCCTCGAGAAAGGGAATTTGCAAGGCCATAAGGCTGCTGATAGCTGCACCTCTGACACCATTCATGTGGATCAGCGACTTGCCTGCCTGGCAGCAGTAGCTGTTAGCCACCTAGCCCCTTGAAAGGAGCTACTGATTACAGTACACCATTTCTGGACTCCTTTTACATTCTTCTAGAAAGTGCTTACTCACTAAGTAGTGACTCTTGGTCTTTATGAGACAATTTACTCCCTCTGCACTGAGCACCCTTTTCAGTCTCTCTTGACTCACATCACGCACCTGCACAGTTCCTATGTGCTGGGTGACAAGAGAGCTAAGCCTTGCTGAGAGGCAGCCCGAGGTGCACCCAGCCTGGTGGCCTCTGAGGTCTCAGAGGCATGGTGTGCTTTGGCTCCACAGTGACTAAGGTCCGGCCCCTCCCACTGCAGTTCCCTGGCTGCTGTGACCCAGGTCTCTGTGTCTGCTTTTCTCCCTGGGGCCCTACAGACATCAGCTGGTCCCAGAGAGCAGCACCCCTAAAACCAGCATGAGTTCTGGGCAACGGAGGAGGCATCTCTCGACTTGTCCCCCAGGATAAAATGTGTCGGGACAGCTTCCTGGGTACTATTTCATAAAAAGGCCATCAGTGACCCATTGTCTAATTGGGTAGGCCAAATGCCCATTGAAACAGCCCTGGCCACCAAGAGGCAGGACCCCCCGCGAACCAGAATGCCCAGGGGTGTTGGCCCAGAGGAGTAGGGAGAGGCCTTGGCGTTATGTGTTACGTCCCTACGTGTTCCTCTCCTCTTCCTCTTACTGACCTGCTGCTTGGTCTTGCCTCCCCAGTGGGCCAGGACTGCTACACACGGATCTGGAGCCTGCACGACGGCCTTCTGCTCAGGACCATCCCCTCCCCACACCCCACGTCCAAAGCCGACATCCCCAGTGTGGCCTTCTCCTCTCGGCTCGGGGGCTCTCAAGGGGCACCGGGGCTGCTCATGGCCGTGGGACGGGACCTCTACTACTTTTCCTATAGTTAGTGCGCAGGGCACAGCCTGGAGGAGCATGGACCAGCCTGCAGGAACAAAACATGGTTTATTCCCGTTTTGGACTGGGACACGCAGGTGGTACTGGCTGCCACAGAGGCTGCCCCCAGCTGCCGGGGCATGGTGCCGTGTCTCGGGTAAAGGTGGCTCTGCAGTTACTTCCGTTACAGTCTGGGCTCAGGGAGCTGGAAAGTGCTCTTCATAAAAAGTACTTGTATCATTTTTCTGTTGAGTCTTAGAATAGTTTCCCACATCCCCTTTGCTGTTGTTGTTTTTCCTAAGAACTAAAGCTTGGCTGGACCTAGCTGAAAGTTCCCTCCTTTCATCAAAAAGCCCCTTGGAGAAGCCTGACAAGATGGCAGGACCATCAGCAAGGCTGGGGTCCCAAGAAGAGAGACAGGCCAGGGGAGGACAAGCAGTTAGAATGTGCAGAGCAGCCAGAGGCCCAAGCTGCGAATCCTCAGGCTTGTTCTTATCAGCACATCTGGGAGCTGGAAGGACAGAAAGGCCTTTCCAGATGCTGCAAATTGTATTTGTTGCAGAGCTTTCCAGGAGGCACCGCAGCTCCTCCTATGGTGCTGGTGACAAGACCCGATGAAGAGGAGTCGTGGCAACACCTTCGTCACCTGGGAGTGGTAGTGTGTTGTTATATCATGTGAGTGTCAAAGAGCCTGTTTCTGCTGCCAATAAACTGGGACCAACAGTGCCACAGGCAGGTAGCTCGTGTCAGCTTGCCCGGTTGTCATGTTTGGGCTCCTGGAGCTGCCGCGGTGTCTGCAGGACAGCCAAGGCTGAGACCAACTTCGGCATCCCTGCTGGGGCACTTCAGATGGCCTCTCCAGACCCATGACCACTGGCCCCCTTCCTGCCAGACTGGGTTGGCTGCGGCACTGTCGCCAGGGATGCAGCTCCTGATCACCCCTCCCTGCTCCCAGCCCCAGGATTCCCCACCTGCTGCTTTGAATAGTTCACCTGCTTCCTGTCACATCAAAAACAACAGTATCCAGCAGATGATCTGATGGGTGAACTTTCTGAGGAACTTTTGCCAATGCTATTCACATTTGAGCCTTCTAGCAACCCGTGAGGGAAGTGGGATCATTGTAGGGCTATGATTGGATTCGTGTGCAGATAAGCCATGGCCCAGAGACTTGCTAGAGCTGACAGGTTTAAGAGTGGAGTGAGGACTTTGAAGATGGGGTTCTGCACCCCATGTCCCTCCCACCCCTGCCAGAGACCTGGGCTGGGGGTCCCAGGGCCATGGGGCACCTATAGGTAGCTGGGGGCCATTGTTACTTGGCACTGGCTATAAGCACCTTACCGAGTGCTTCCACATGTAGTTACTGAGGTCTGTGCCCCAGTCCCAGAAGTTCCTAGCAAGTCCCCCTACCATGAAGAGGGAAGGTGGTCTCCTTGCTGCAGGCCCTTTTACATCAAGTCTGGTGAGATGCCACTGCCCAGAGCACAACCCAGCAGAGAATGCTGACAGAAGCATGTCCATGTCCGCAGGCTTTGATCCCAGCAGGTCCTGAGTGAGCACAGTAGGAGGTGCTGTTCATTCCTTACAGTCAGGCCCTGCAGGCATGATTATGCTGTGACTCGGCTCCGGCTCAGAACCCCTGGGTAGCTATGTGTCCCTCCAGGGAATACCGGTGGGCTGATAACAGCTGCGGCACACAAACACTGGTTCTGGGTAAAGCTGGCCAAGGAGTTCGAGCATTTCAGTCCTTTGGCTTCTTGGATCTATTGATGTCAAAAGCCATAGTGCCTTACACAGACACATTTTCACCAGCCAGTTTGTTAGGGACTGAGTGGCGCCCAGCACAGTGTTAGCTTGCTCATGACCTCCTAGTATGGGCACAACCAGTGGTTATCAAACATGGACATGAAGTGGCACATGACTGACGTTCCACGGTGCTTTGCATCACTCTGGGACTCTGCCAGCCTGGCATGCTTTCAACAGCACAGTCTGGAAGTGTCCCCCAACAAGAATCCCTGGGCATGACCCTGAGTCCCTCTTGGCTGTCAGCTGTAGCCCTGTCCTGGTCTAGGTGTTTATAAAACCATCTCCAAAGCAGTTCCAGGCTCAATCTAGTTTTCCACTTACAAGCAGCTGCTGGCCCACTCTGCAAAGTCTGTCCCTGAGGACTTTTGCCAGAAAACCCCTCAGTGCACCCCAGAATCAGGCCAGTTCCCTCCTTGTGTCCACATAAAGTGTACCACTGTCTCCCTCTGCTGCTCTGAAGACACACATAATGATGAACCGTGGGGTCTTCCCAGGTTGGATCTCGTTTGGGTCTCGGCTTACAAGGCACCACTGGAAAGTGGTTTGCCTAAAACTGGATGCAACAATGTCAAATTTTTGCCAAGGCTATCTCTTTTTTTTTTTTTTTCAATTCATTAATTTTAAAAGCAGAGTGACTGGGAGTTTTCATTCACTCCCTAAATACCCCAATAGGCAAGGCTGGGCTAGACCAAAGGCAGGAGCCAGGAACTCCATCTGGTGCCCACGGGAGTGGCAGGCATGGCCTCGCGATGCGTCAGCAGGAGGCTAGAGTGGAAGCAAGGGCAGCTCCATCCCAGCGCCCCGGTATGACTCGCAGGTGTTCCAGCAGTGGGACACCGCCTTTGCTGTGATGTCACAGTTGGGATACAGCAAGTTAAACTGGCACCTGCAACACTGGCAGCCCACGTTCCAGTCCACTTTGAAAAGAGAGCTGCTATCTACTGCCTTAGTCAGCAGTACACCTTGCTAAGCCGGGAGCTTGAAGCTCCATTCTGGTCACATACCTGGGTGGGAGGGATTCCAGCTGGCACTGCAGTATGAGATGCTGACATGAAAAGCAGCAGTTTTCGAGGGAGGGGTCTGTCCATCCAAGCCTTACTACTAAGATCTGTCATAATGCCTACCTCGGGTACAGTTCAAGAGAAAGCTCAGATTTTTGTATCCTGAAAGCAGAATCAGTCACCACCCACTCGAAAGTTGGAATTCTGGAACCCAACATGAAAATATGGCTGCCTGCAAAATAACCATTACATCAGATTTCTCTCTGAGCAATTAGAAGTTTGGCTCGCATGTTACAAAAGGGCAGACTTAACCTTCAAAAGTGGTATTGTGGGTGGTTGTTACGAGAATGTGAGAGAACTGCCTTGCCTGAAAAGGCAGAATTCACAGCCTGAGAGGGAAGACACCCGCAGGCGAGGGTACTGGAGGCAGGCCCAGGCTCCAGGCATGCTGGAGGCCGACACCACCCACCCGGACTGCACTCCTTCCCAGGGAGACTGCTAGCGCTCAACTTGGCAGTACAATACAACTAAGCATTGGTTCTGCCATCACCAGGCCCCAAGGATTTCTGAAGGGCTTAGACTGCCCATTCTCCCACAAGCTGTCAATTCCAGGGTACAGTCAGCTGTCAAACCTTGCCCTAGATCAAGGTTTCCATTTTACCTGAAAGATATCTGAAACTCTGCTTTGATTCCCCCAAAAGCTCTCAATAGCCAGGGATGGGCCGACCTGCAGCCAGAAGCCTGGGGCTCCCCTGGGATCTGTCCCGTGGGTGACACAAGCACAAGGCTTGGACACACATTAGAAAGAAGCTGAGCGGAACACACAGGACCGGATCCAGGGTTAAGGGTCTTGTGGGTTCTGAAGGTGTGAACTGAAGCTGCACGTGGCCCCTCTCCATACCCTCATTCTTGGTGGCTGCTGGCACTCGGCTTGGTCTTTCCTTTCACCTTTCTTTGCTGCTCCCAACCATTCAGTCTCACCCCTGTCTTTGGATGAATGGGCTGAAACAAGGGAAGTCGGGGGAAAAAGAGGGGTTGGTCCCCTTGATCTTGGTGGTGGGTTCATCCTGCTGGGGCGCCCCTGAGTACATGGGACTGGCTCTAACCCAGCACTGGCTTAGGCTAAAGTTAAACTTCACAGGAAGCATGTGGAAAAAAATCCTCCACATATCTTTCCAGACCAAAGAACCAGCCACGACTTAAACTAATGAGTGCCAAGGCAGAAAGCAGCTGAACAGAGGCCAACAACAAGAGTTTGGCAAAACCTATGAAAGCAATACACACATCTTGATTGGGGGGAGCAACACAGACCGTGCTAGAAACTTTTAAAACTTATTTTTATCAGAAAGGTAGATTAGATCTTCTGTATGCTTTTTCTTTTTTTTTTTTATTTTTTTTAAAGATTTATTTTTATTATTTTTTCATTGGAAAGGCGGATATACAGAGAGGAGAGACAGAGAGGAAGATCTTCCGTCCGATGATTCACTCCCCAAGTGAGCGCAACGGGCCGATACTATGCCGATCCGAAGCCAGGAGCCTCTTCAGGGTCTCCCACGCGGGTGCAGGTTCCCAAAGCTTTGGGCCGTCCTCGACTGCTTTCCCGGGCCACAGGCAGGGAGCTGGAAGGGAAGCGGGGCTGCCGGGATTAGAACCGGTGCCCATATGGGATCCCGGGCGTGCTAGGCGAGGACCTTTAACCACTTGCGCCACCGCGCCAGGCCCCTGTATGCTTTTTCACTCCCCAAGTGGCCACAACAGCTGGAGCTGAGCCAATCCAAAACCTCCCTACGTTCTCCCACGCAGCTGCAGGGTCCCAAAGACTTTGGGCCACCCACCACTGTTTCCCAGGACACAAGCAGGGTGCTGGAAGGGAAGTAGAGCAGCTGGGTCACAAACCAGCAACCATATGGGATCCAAGTATATGTCAGGCAACGACTTCAGCAACTAGGCTACTGTACTGGGCCCAGTAGGAACTTCTAATAGTCAATGAGCTTAATGACTTGCTGAGAGCAGGCATCAGGAATGGGGCATCCCAGCAACTGTACTGCAGTGCCTGTGCCCCAGGAGGCAGCAGCAGATGGCCCCAGTAGTTAGGTCCCAGCCACCTGCACGAGAGACCCAGACTGAATTCCCAGTGTCAGCCTGGCTCAGCCTTGGCTGCTGGGGAAGTAAAACAGGTGGGAGATGTCTGCATGCCTCCATCCCGTTTTTTGGAAGTTGATTTGTTGAGTGCTTCTCTAGGCACAATAAGCCCTGAGCCAAGTGAGGTACACACCTCTGCGGTTAACACGGCTGCCGTCCACAGCGCCTGCTCGGAGCATGGCTGCGACAGGACAGCACGCAGCAGCAGCTCTGACCACTGCTCTCCAAATTCCCTACCCGGCAATCTTCCCAACAGCCAAGGTTCTGGGCACACATGGCAGGCCGAGAGGGGCAAACTCACTCTCTGAGCTGCAGGGCACAAAACCTGAAGCTCCTGGCTCTGCCCTGTCACAGCCTCAGTGAACTAGCACACAGACTGCCTTTCAATTAAACACAAAGAAAAGTCAAATTCCCTCTAGGAAAACCAATTCCAGGGCCCGGCATGGTGGTCCAGCAGCTGAAGTCCTTGCCTTGAACGCGCCAGGATCCCATACAGGCGCCAGTTCTAATCTCAGGGGCCTGCTTCCATGTTTGTGGCCTGGGAAAGCAACTGAGGATGGCTGAAAACCATGGGACCCTGCACTCGCATGGGAGACCCAGATGAGCTCCGGGCTCCCGGCTTCGGATCGGCACAGCACTGGCCGTAACGGTCAGTTGGGGGGGTGAATCATCGGATGAAAGATCTTTCTCTCTGTCTCTCCTCCTCTGTGTATCTGACTTTGCAATAAAAATAAATCTTAAAAAAAAAATCTAGTTTTCATGAGGGCACTAAATGGAAGAGTTCAAAATATCACCACTCTAGTTATAATAGAACTTCAAAAATTCATGGAAATAAAATTTAATAAAGTCAACATTTTTCGACAGTAGGCATTTTTATGACATATTTGAATATACTTCTACATGGACTGCAGCAAAATAAACAACTGGATTCCACTGTTCGTGGACTCCAGCCCCCTCATACACGCCCCTCACTTGGCCTCTGCTCCGACAGCTCCAGCTTACTCCCTGACCATCAGCTGCAGGCAGGCCAAGAAGAAGGGAAGGAAGACAGGCAAATGGCTTACTGATGGAGTCAGAGGAATGAGTCAGCAGGCCTAGAGTTGGCAGGAAGTTCATTTATAATGAGAACCTTACAACACAGTTCTAGGGTAGGGTCAGTCCTTGGGCCATAGGAGGTGGCAAGGAGCAGGTGTGCTAAGGACCAGCACCCTGGGCTCCACCACAAGCGCACACAGATAGCGCCCTGAGGCTCGCCCCACCCATCAGTTCCATGGTTGCTGTCACAGGATTTCAACACAACAGTCTTTGAAATCACAGCAGCTCAGGGTGCCCAAGCTCAAAGTGAAAGCCAAAGTTCATCTGACTTCACTTGCAAGGAAGAGAGGGTATGTTCTTGAAGGTGGCTGAATGCAGGACATACGCTGCAAAAACAACTAACAGTCCGTTCTGTGCTCTGTTTGCCTGGAAGGCTTCGCACAGTCACCCCTCCAATAGCCAAAGGGATGCTGTCTCTGGGAATGAAGGTTTAAGACACTTGAAACTATGCAGTGAAAACTGTAGTGCAGCACTCAGAAGCTGAGAGGGCCCAGAGCAGGTGTGGAAGGGTGCAGCCTCATGGGGAAGCAGAGCAGAGACAGAAGCGGCAAGGGGCAGGCGATGCTACTGGGGCAGGCCCAGGCCTTCAAGGGAGGGCAGGCTCATGCCTGCTGCCTTCTCGGGGCTGACCCACCACACACTGACCTCACCTCACCGGGCAGCTCAGAAGCAGGGAGGGAGAAGCCTCTGCCACTTTCCCCGACACAGAGCACAGCACAAAGGTGCAGAGGGAACAAGCAAGATGTTGATCTCTTTTAGTATTTGTAACTTCAATGTATGCAGATTCGGGTTCATTCCCCTTTGCCGCTCGGTCCCCTGCCAGGAAGGCCTGCTGCCTTTCTGCCTGCTGACAGGCTCACCCCCAGCCCACAGCAAGTGGCCCAGGACAAGCAGAGGTGGGGACACAGCCAGGTGAGTGACAGGTGGGCCTAACTCGACAGGACTTCCACTTCTAACCCTGAGAACCTAAGGAATTGTGAAGCACTCGGAAAGGGAGCGGGGGTTAGAGGTCACCGGGCTTTTTATTGCAGTTGAAGCAGACCCGGACAGGATGGTCCCAGCCACGCGAGGGGACAGCCCGGCGGTCGTGGGAGCAATCATCACAGAAGCCCTGCCCGCAGGCCCGGCAGTGGTGCTTGGAGAGCTTGATGCTGAACTCCTTCCGGCAGTTGTGGCAGTGCAGGATCTCATGGTCAGGCACCCAGTACGCCGGCCGGGCAGCATCTTTCACCAGCCCTGTGCCAAGGAATGGAGTGCCACAGTCAGGATAGACCGACCCTGGCAGGCCAGAGCCATCCTCAGATACCTCCTGGCATATCTCAACAGCACACATCACTTACAGGACTGCTGCCTCCCAAGCCCATCAGGATCCCGAAGGCGGAGGCACTAGCAGTGACGTTGATGGCTTTCTTAGCTCCCCAGGTGAGCCTAATTACGCAGCTGCCTTAGGGAGCACAGCAGGGGGAGCAGGGTGTGCCCCTCCGAGTGAAGAGTTGGTCATGACACCACTTGGGATGCCTGCATCCTATCCTGCAGTGCCTGGTGCAACACCGGGCTCTGTTCTCGACTCCAGCAGCTTCCTGTGGATGCATTCCCTGAGGAAGGGGCAGTGCTGATGGTTCGAGTAACTGGGTTCCTGCAACCCATGTGAGAGACTAGGTTTGAGTCCTCAGATCTTGGCTTCATCCCTTTGCCCTTCTGAGCTCTGAGGGAGGAAAGCAGCAGATGGGAGCACACACTCTCTCCTTCTCTTGGTCTCTGCCCGCATTTATCCCTCGAGAACCCCTGGGGGAATCACCAGGAAGTCAGTACTCCAGCATCAGATCACCCAAACCCCAGTCCCACCAAGTCCACGCTCGCCAGAGCCCACAAGAAGAGAAGAGACCTAACCCCTTGGGGCTTACTTGTCTTCACTCACTCACCTCTGACATCTGCTACGAGCTTCATAAGTAGTAACGGGTTTGACACACTAGCTGGGGAGCACATGGTGAGTAGGGCTGACAGCCATCTGTGCCAAGGGGAGCCCTTGCCTCCTTGAGAGAGCCCTGAGGGCAGACGCAACCTGAGCTTCAAGCCTGGGCAAATCCACCCTTGAGCCAAGAACTCCACTACTCCCTCCGTGTGCCACACTGATTATGTCTCTTCCAAGCCATTCTGGAACCCACCACCCCCTCCCCTGCCAGGAATCTCTGGACACTCCCAGAATTTGACCACCCCTGCCTGACCCCTCCACGCCCTTGTTTGTTTCCCCTTTTTTCCCTCTTGCCATCATAGCCACCCACACCCACTCCTACCTGGAGCAGAGTTGCAACCTTAAGTCCCAAATTGGTAAGAGCTCAGCTAGGGAGCGGCGTCACACACAGACACAGCCGTGACATCCCTGCCATCTCAGAGGCTCTTGCTGCCCTATGACTACCACTAACCAAAGGACAAATGCCAGTGTGTAAGCCCGGGCCTTAAGGGACAGGCAGTTTCCACTTCCTGTCCCAGGTGACATTAGCTCTTGGACTCTGAGCCACCATTTAGTCCAGCCATCCCTGGTAGGAAAACCAGAGAGGAGAGTATGAAGGATAGGGTTCCTGTGAGCTAGTCCAAGCAGCTGAAGCCTCAGGAGAGGATAGGGCTCCTGCCGACCCCAGCTTAGCAAATGTCCTGCTGGGGTCAGCTGCCATCCTGAATTACCAAGGGGAGCTCCGGGCACTGCCACCTCCCTGACTCCCAGAGCCACAGGTTGTCACCGTCAGCCTTCACAGTGGAAGGGAGCGTGTGTACCCGGGATGAGCATGAGCCCACACACATGGAAATGTTTTTGTGCTTTCTTGCTGCCCAAAAGACCCCTACTCCCACACAGCACAGCCCAAGCAGTGCTGCCAGGCCTACCTAGTGGTATGTCCATGGCTGTCACCACGGCTCCCAAGGTGTTCTGCACAGCTTCACCCACCTTCCGGGCTATCAGTGTTCCGCCTTCATCGTCCACCTGCATCTCTGAAACATCTGCGGACAAGGAAAAAGGGCAAACTGTGGCCTCCATGTCATTTCCCATTTCCCAAACAGCAAGCTCAGGAGGCCACCTCGGAGCACTTCTGGGTGCTTTTCCCAGAGCAGCACAGTCCAAGTGTCTACCATGCAGACCAGGCCAGCCAAGACCATGAAATTGGATAACATGTGTTACCTTGTACTTGCAACTCTTGCAAGTAAACAAGAAAATGGCCCCGTGTGGTGGCCTAGCAGCTAAAGTCCTCGCCTTGAGCGCACTAGGATCCCATTTGGGCACCAGTTCTAATCCTGGCAGCTCCACTTGCCATCCAGCTCCCTGCTTGTGGCCTGGGAAAGCAGTCCAGGATGGCCCAAAGACTTGGGACCCTGCACCCATGTGGGAGACCTGGAGGAAGTTCTTGGCTTCTGGCTTCAGATCAGCATAGCACCAGCCACTGCGCTCACTTGAGTGAACCAGCGGATGGAAAATCTTCCTCTCTCTCTCTCTCTCTCCTCCGCTCTGTATATCTGACTTTGTAATAAAAATAAATAAATCTTAGAAGAAAAAAGTAAACCAGACAAGATCTGTAAGCGTGATCTAGCATGTTTTTCAGGGAGAAAACAGGCCAAGCCGTGTCTCACAAACACTGCAACCTATTTTCTTCCCAGAGAGGAAAAGCACCTGTAGGACCCTCAGCTACAACTTACAGGACAGCTGACGTAGCCACGGGGAACAGTGGCCCCACGCTAGCTCTGGAGTTAGGTCCTATGGGAGTCCAGTTCCCAACCCCCAGGGCCAAACAGGGCCGTTCTCCCTAGCACCCGGCGCCAGGCCCCACGTTACCTAACTGCACGTTCCTGGCTTCGTAGCAGTTGTCACACACCCGCACAGGTGCGGGGCCCCAGCCCCGCTCGGGCACTGGCCGCGTCTTGGAGGAACAGCTGTCGCAGAAGCCCTCCCCACAGGCCCGGCAGTGGTGCTTAGTGTCATTGTCTTTAAAGGACGTTGCACACTTGTTGCAGCTCTGCGCGAAACAAGAAAGAGGCAGGTGTCACGGGCTTCTGTTTGGCTAAGAACGTCACTAGCCTCTGGAGATCACTGGGAACCCAGGGAGGGAGCCATACTCTCCACTGCCAAGAGTTGCTCTGGTGGAAAGGAATCATGGTGGGAGCCAGGTTCCTGCCCAAGGTAGGCCAAGGCAAGGCAGCACTAGAGGCTTCTGTCCTGAGCCAAGGGTGACCCCACATAGCCTGCAATGGCCCTTCTCCTCACCCCACCCCGACTTGGAAGTTAGGACTTCTGATTTCTCAGCAGTAGGAACTGGGCCTTGCAGATACTGACACTCAAACCCACTACCACAAAGAAAATGCTTGCCAGTGGATGGACACTTAGCTTAGTGGGTAAGGCTACCTCCCACATCCGAGTTTCCCTGGCTTACATCCTGGCTCCACTCCTGACTGCAGCTTTCTGTTCATAGGGAATTTGAGAAGCAGTGGTGACAAAGGAGCCTGTCACCCACATGGGAGACATAGATTTCATCCCGAGCTCCTGGCTTCACCTGGTACAGCCCCACAGGTATTTGGGAAATAAACTACAGGATCAATGCCAACTTCCTGTGCCCCATCCCAGAACAGGCTCCACACAGGGCCAAAAGCACAGGCCGTGCAGGCTGTGCTAGGGATGCAACACAGGGGACAACTGTCCCACTGTACCAAGATCTGGGAGTTGGGCCTCCAGTAGGCAGGTGCAATCTGGTCGGTGAGCCAGGAGGTCACAGCCTTGGTGGGCCCGAGGCTCAGCTCGGACACGGACTGCGCCATGAAGTTCATGCCGTCCAGGAGGCGCTGGGCTGCATTGTTGTTGTCCTTGAGGAACCCATCAGTCTGAAATGAGAAACAGTGCCCATCATGCCCAGTAGAGACATTAGAGGTGGCAGAGAGTGGCACCGGGGAGCTGCACATGCCCTGGAACCAGTCCACCCCTCACAACTTGGCAGGCAGGAGTGGGGCCCAGCAGCCAGCAGCCAAACAAGTTTACATCCAACCAGAAAGCACTGACTCACTCCCTGCAACATGACCACACACCAGGCCTGCAGCCATTGCCTCTGCCCCTGTGACCTGACACCTCCTCCAGGAGGCCTCCCTCTCCCGTTGCAGGCTCTCTGTCCCTGCAGTACCTTATGTCCCCTGGAACCCAACTTCTGTGTGCAAGTGCAGTGACTATGGACTCATCCAGCTTCCCATTTGAATATCAGCAAACTGAGAACAACCTATCTTATTCATTCTTCCATTCTGGGAAAGCATGAAGTTTAATTTGGGACACATACGATCTTGACAGAACCAGAGAAAGCAATCCTAAAATTCATACGGGACCACCAATAAACAAGGGAAAAAATATTCTAAAATTCATTTCAGACACAAAGCACTGAGCGATGCATGTTTAAATGAAGGGAAGAGCCTGCCAGCAAAAACGGAAGGGCCTGTGCTCAGCCCCTAAGGGCCAGGAGGGATGCAGCCACAGGCAACCATGGCATCCCAGGCTCCCTGAAATACCCAGGATGCTCCCGATAGCACAGCCTCTCAGTTAGTGGCCACTTTAAATCCTTGGAAGGAAGGCCTGGACAGCAATACCTGGGAGCCTGGCTCCAGGCAGAAACTCACAGGACAAGACCAAGACACAGAAGGCCTGAAAATGGGTAGGACACAGAGGCAGTGACCAAATCCTGAGTCTGGGGGGCGACTGCAGGAGCCAGGAGGGTCCTGCAAGGCAACTGCTAGGTATGGGAGGAGTTTTGGGGGGCAGCCAGCAAGGAGAGCATCCAACTAGATGAGTCTCTCAGGGAGACACCCTTCTCTTTGTTGAGGAGGGGAATGGGTGGGTCTGTTGTGCTTTGTGCACCCTGAATGGCACCACTGCTGAAAACACATTTGTATCTCTAAAATCTTTAATTTAAAAAAGGGGGGGTGGCAATCTGGAGCACTACATGAGTTGATCATATAATCATGACAAACAGCATAAATGCCCCAAAATTAGAGAACATCACAGTACATCAAACTACACAGCACTGGTCAAATGACCACACACAGTGGCACCAAGGAATACCACAAAAATGGAAACAATGAGGAAATACAATGAAATGAAATATAAGTGTCTGAAAAGAAAGCATACAAATGGCATGTAAATGATAATTTATGAAGATGTCCTCAACAGGAGACTAAATGAGAGCATGGAAAAAGTCCTATTCGCTAAAGGACTAGACACTGTAGATTTTTGTTTTCTTGAAAGCTGCACTTCTACTACGTGTGCAAGAACAGAAGTAATTAAACAAGGACAGCTCTCAACTCATGCCTCCCTATAACCACTCACATCCCAAAATCCCTGGTTAACCTCAATTCTAAACAAGATCTGCTTTTCCACGTGAATAACTGAAGCACACTTCTTACTCCTGGCCACACGTGCACGATCTCGGTCCGCACCACCGTGTCCACAGGATCCTGGTTCCCAAACCAGTACTGCCGGCTGCGATAGACCACGCCACAGTTAGGACACTCAATCACATACCTACGAAAGAGGAGATGGACACAGTGAGGCAGCCAGGGGCATGGCAAGCACACACACTCAATGCCCCCTGGGTGAGGCTGCTGCAACTCACCCAGACCAGGCGTACTTGGCGAGACCCATCCAGGGTGAGTCAGTGGAGGCAGACGTCTTGGGCACCACGCTGACTTCCTTGCCTCTCTCATAGCAGGCCTGTAATGTGGACACTCTGCAGCATAGCCTACACACACCAGACCCATGGCCGCCTCGCCTCCCTACTCAGCCCCAGGTGGGCCTGAGGTTAGCCCCTCAAGATTGAACTGGGTGTGCACTGGGACACCCAGCCTCTTTCTCGCACACCTGTCCCACCCAGAAGGAACACAGCCAAACTACCTCCCTGCTCTACTTGAGAATGAATGCTCAATGGGCATGACCTGACAAGGTAAATACAATACAAAGGAAAAGAGCTCAAAAAAGTAGATGGGGGAATGGGGACCCAGGGTGTAGAGTGAGTACTTTAGCATGGGGTCAGAAGTACAGAAACTGCTAGAAGTCAATCTAGCATCCAGCACTGTGGGACACAGTCAGGTCAACGACCACCAGTCTGCCCAAAACGACTGTGCGTGCAGCAAGCTGGCCTGCCAGACTCACCTTGCAGGTGTAAACTCGGTTGTCATACTGGTGGGAGTATCTGCAGCGGCTCTTGGCTTCGTGAGGCACTCCTTCCTTACCATGGTTCATGCTGTTCTTACATCCAACCCTGAGTGAAGTCCAAAAATGTGGTGAGGCCTTACAGGGCCAACAAAGCTTCCACGGGGGCTCCAACTCTTGGCCGGGTGCAGGTCTTGGTTACTAACAGGGCTCTGGGAGTGGGGGCAGGTTGCATGGCTCATGTCAGCCAGGCTGCTGTGCTAGGCCTGAACCTGCGGCACCCAGAGGCAACAGAAACATCACCCAAGACAAAGGAAAGCAATGGGAGGCATCTCTATTTGACCCCAGGCAGGAAGGGAAGATACAGACGACATCAACTTGACCACCAGACACCCGAAAGATTTGACCATCTCGTGTTGGCATCACCAAACTCTACACAGGACAAAATGGAAAATATAACGGGACAGACTGCCCAGCGGCAAAACAAAAATCACCCCCAGACATGGCAGTACCACCCTGGGAAGCCTCAGCTGGAACAAGAAAAACGGTGAGCTCAGCCAGCCTGTCAACACAGGGGAAGACACCAGGACTTTGGGATCTCCCTGGGATAAAATGAGGGTTCTGGAAACCCTGGGTAGGTTCAATTAGGACGGGAAAGTGACGATTCCATAGTGCATAAACCCCTCCCATTGGGCTCACAAGGCCCAGCATAAAGGAGGGGACATCTCGCTAGCATCACGTCCCCCTTTGCAAGCTCCTGGCACAAGTCACACAATCTAGGAGCCACGCCTTCACACTGGCTCAGCAGTCACTATCCAGCTGCTGGCCTTGAAGGCCATGGGGTCCAGCAGACCAGTCACCATCATCGTCAACGACTCAAACTGATCCAGGATCCCCAAAGCACAGTCCTGGCCAACAAGATCTGCACCACCTGAGAAGCCACAGGCCTCACTTCCGACCTGCTCCACCAGAAACATTCAGGGGAGGCTCTAACAGCCTCTTGCAACATGCCCTTCTGGTTTTCCTAACACAGGGAAAACTGAGGCACCACTGGCCTCACTGTGCATCACACAGTGGGGTCCACAGCGTTGCCATCCCCCAGAGCTGGCGTCAGGCCTCATTCAGCCCTAACTCTGGGTATTTTCCTAAGACCTCCAGGCTATGCTCCTGTTGGCTCAAGCAGAAGACTCAGCAGCTCAAATCCAAACCTTCAGATTGACCCGCATATAACAATCAGATGCTGAGCCTTTTAAATGACCCAGGGCTGGGCCTCAGCCCCCAGATCACCTGCCTGGAGGTGGCCTCGGTCATTTGGGAGGTCCCTGTGATAGATAAGTGCTCTTGGCATTTGCCCTTGCCACAGCAAAAATCCCCTGGGACTGGGTCCACCACTGTGCCTGACCTGCAGCGTGGTGCTTAGGAGGCAGCTGAGAGCAGCATATCCAACTCAAAGCCTGAGTGAGAGGCAGAGAAGGCCACCCAGGCAGGACTCGTGGCACAAAAGCGGCCTGGCTCAGGAGGCAGTCTGGCTCAGACTACACTAGGTCAGAGCCCAGGGGCACGTGTCCTGGAAGCCCTTGTGACCTCCAACAGCAGCCAGCAGCCATCCTGGCTCCCACGGGAACAGCCCAGATGTGTTACCTCCGGCCTCACCTCCAGCCCCGCCCCCGTGGCCTCCACAGCCACGCACACTCACCCACAGCTGAGGCACAGGGAAGAGCAGGTGAAGTACTCATCGGGAAAGAAGGAGCTGTGTGCCATCTGGTCATCGGGGATCTCTCCGCTAAAGCGGTCGCTCAGGGCCTGCGAGGGAAGGCAACAGTGAGGCCTCCGACCCAGAGCTGTGCAAGCCCCAAAGCAGCCTCTCCGAACTCCTCACCGCTGACTGCTTTCCTAAAATGCCACAGTAAAGACGGAACCTGGTAACTGGGGTCCCTCAACCTTGACCTTCAATACTAAACTTGGTCCAAACCACAGGAAATCTCAGAAAGAATCGGCCCATTTCCCAATAGATCAAGAGTGAGCCAAGCACTCACTCCTCGCCACCCTAGAAGTCATCAACCCGTGCCACAGCTCGGGGGCCACAACTGTGGCACAGGCGTTAAAAGCTCCTGTCTGCCCCAGCCCAGCCCCAACCGTTACAGCTGTTTGGGAAGTGAATGAACGAATGCAAGATCGGGCTTCTTTCTCCCTCTAACTCTGCTTTTCAGATGAATAAACAAAACCTAAAAAAAGACTGACAGATCAGCCGCGCACCTCCTCTCTGGTCACTTGGGCGCAAGGAGTGGAGACGCACTCCCTTGCTAAGGGGAGCGCCCAGGGGAAAGCTTGGCATTTCCAGGATTCCGCCCCAGTCCTCACCCCAGGCACTGAGTTTACTAAGCCAGAGGACTGTCTCAACACAGGAAAAAATGTCCACAGCCAAAAAACAAGGCAGAACTATCAACGACGCTATGCTTGGAACCAGCAAAGGGCGAAGATCAGGGCCCAGTAAGATACAGCATCTGCACGGCCACTCTGTCGGGCTGAGAGCACAAACTACCCCGCAGGGCTGGCATTCCTCAGGTCAGAGAGAAACAAGAAACCAGTCACTGCTGCTTGCACCAAGGCGATGGGACCACTCTATCTCGGGTGGCCAGACCCCAATTATTCATGGGCAGAGAAGGGAGAGCAGCCTTGAACTAGAGGGTGAGACGTTACTTCCTTTAAAAAAAATCATTTAGTGACAGGCACTGTGGCCTAGTAGCTAAAGTCCTCACCTTGAATGTGCCGGGATCCCATACGGGCACTGGTTCTAATCCTGGCAGCCCCACTTCCCATCTAGTCCCCTGCTTGTGGCCTGGGAAAGCAGTCGAGGATGGCTCAAAGCCTTGAGACCCTGCACGCATGTAGCAGACCCAGAAGAGTTCCTCGCTCCTGCTTCAGATCAGCACAACACAGGCCATTGGGGAGTGAATCATCAGATGGAAGATCTTCCTCTCTGTCTCTCCTCCTCTCTGTATATCTGACTTTTCAAGCCAAAAAAAAAAAAAAAACACTCCATGCCAACTAAGAGAGAACACTCTCCTGGTGGCAGTAACGAATCAGACCTGGAGAAGCTTCGGCACCTAGGGGAGCACATCAGGGGCTCTCTGAGAGACCAATGCTGAAATGCCCGAGGCCCACGGGAAGGACACACTGTCCTCCTTCTCCCAGAACCTGCTGCTCCCCTTCCATTGCAGACACAGCCTCCACCTGGTCCAGCCTTTGCCAGTTCCAATTTTCCACACCTCACATCATTCCACGGTTTCTTGGGCTCACTTCCTCCCAAGGTCCCAGAGTAGGAAGGGCAAGGTCACAAAGGGCCTCTGCTCAGAGTGCTAGGGAAGCTTCTGGAAAAGGTTGCTGGGAGACCAAATGATATAGAACCTCAGCTGCCTTGGCAACAGGGTGGCCATCTTCTATTGTACCTGCAAGGTGAGCCCCAGACACCAGGGCCTGCAGGCAACTCCTGACTCAAAATACTCTTGGATAATCAATGATGCTACCCAGCCTTCCCAATGTGCTATAACAGCGAGTGAGTTTCTACACCTCCAAACCAAATCTAAAGAATATACGACACAAACCCCCTGCAAGTTCAGCTTGAGAATGGTTCACTAGGGCCCAGTGCGGAAGCCTAGTTGCTAAAGTCTTCACCCTGAATACATCGGGATCCCATATGGGTGCCAGTTCTAATTCCCAGCAGCTCCACTCCCCAACCAGCTCCCTGCTTGTGGCCTGGGAAAGCAGTCGAGGACAGCCCAAAGCCTTGGGACCCTGAACCTGTGTGGGAGACCCGGAGGGAGCTCCTAGCTCCTGGCTTTGGATCGGCTTAGCTCTGGCCATTGTGGTAACTTAGGGACTAAGCCAGTGGATGCAAAATCTTTCTCTTTGTCTTTCCTCTATGTAAATCTCCCTTTCCAATTAAAATGGCTCCCTAATTATTCAGAAGTGCAAACACACATAACCATAATCAGCACAAGATTGAAATTCCCCCATTGCCCAGTGGGAAAGCCCCTATTCCCTTGTTATCCCTGTATCTCTGTCCATTTAAACAGGTTTGCCTGCTCAGGGAGACATTGCTGGGTAGGTATTTGGGCTAAGGATCCTGTGGAAAGCAGTGAATGGTGGGAAATAAACAAGCTAGCAGAGAGACTAGGTCTGGACTACAGTGTAGACCGCAGGAAGCAGGCTGACTGGGAGAACCATTCCAAAGCATCATGGCCAAGCCCCTGGGGCAGAAAGAGGCTACAGATTTCTCATCTCGCTCCCTCTCTGCTCTCTTCCTCCTCAATCCTCAATTACATTTCAAACTACACTTCCTGTTCAATAATGAAACATACAGAGTAATGTTTGGACGCCCGCAACGCAGCAGGACTACATCAGCCAGGTGGAACCTCATAAATAAGATACAGCATTTAATGTTTTAAAACCACGCTAATGGGGTGGGCATTTGGCACAGAGCTTACACTGCCACTTGGGATGTCCCAAGTGCCTGGGCTGAGTCACAGATAGCTCCGCTTCTGACTGCATTTCCGGCTAATGCACCCCTTAAGGGGCAGTGCTGGCAGCTCCACGACTGCCCTGCGTGTCGTAGGCACTGGGAGAAATTATCAACGTGCAAGATTTTATCAGTCTCTGTCCACCTTTTAAAAAAATAAAAATAAGTACATATGTATGCACATCCATATGCACACATAAATATATTAAAACAACAGACATGTATAACATAACAGCAAAAGATAGCCAAGACACATAGCTGTCTTGTGAAGGACTATACTACTAAAACCATATAGGGAAAATCAGTCAGGGGATGGAATTCAGGGTGGGAGGGAAATCCCAGACTCCACAGAATTGTACAATAAAATTCAAAATTTAAAATAAAAATTGAAAAAAACTAAGTGAAGAAGTAAAAAGAAAACTAAGGTGTCTTTTAAAATAAGTGAAAAAAAAAAAAACAAGCTGTAGAATGATATGAATGGGATTGATCTTGCTCATGCAAAAATTACATATATATAAAATACAGATGCATTTACACACAGCACTAGAAAATTTCTGAAACGATATCCAATAAGCTACTAAGAATGCTTCTCGGGCCAACAGCAGTATCTCAGTACCAAAAGTCCTCACCTTTAATACGCCAGGATTCCATATGGGTGTAGATTCTAATCCCAGAGGCCCTGCTTCCCATCCAGCTCCCTGCTTGTGGCCTAAGAAAGCAGTCAAGGGCGGCCCAAAGCCTTGGGACCCTGCACCCTTGTGGGAGACCAGGAACAGACTCCATGCTTCAGGCTGGCGCAGCACTGGCCATTGTGGTCACTTAGGGAGTGAACCATCAGATGGAAGATCTTCCTCACTGTCTTTCCTCCTCTCTGTATACCCGACTTTCCATTAAAAATAAGTATATATTTAAAAAGGATAAAAAAAGAATGCTTCTCTGCAGAATAAAAAGTGAGGGCTGAGGAAACAAGGGGCCTTAACTACCTCACAGCTTATCGTGCAATTTCAATTGCTTATCACCAGTACATGTTTTATAATTTTCAAATGACTATTTGAAGAATTGTTTTTAATTTAAAAGGTAGAGCTAGAGAGAGATTGAGAGACACAAAAAGACTTTCTATCAGTTGGTTCACTCCCTAAATGGCCCAAGCACCGGGATCCCATTTGGGTGCCAGTTCACATCCAGCTGCTCCACTTAGCATCCAGCTCCCTGCTTGTGGCCCAGGAAAGCAGTGGAGGACAGCCCAAAGCCAGCACCAGCATGGAAGACTAGGAAGAAGCCTCTGGCTCCTGGCTCCTGGCTGCAGATCAGCTCAGCTCCAGCTGTTGCAGCCATTTTGGGAGCGAAGCAGTGGATGGAACATCTTTCTGTCTCTCCTTGCCTAAATAAATATGACCTGCCAATGCAATAAAATAAATGCAGAATGTGGGGGCCCAAGAAAGTGAGCCCCGGGCTCCTGGCTTTGACCTAGCCCAACCACACCTATTGCAAGCATTTGGGGAATGAAACAGTAAATGAAAATATTCCTATTTATACATCCATTATTCTAATTTGCCTTTCAAATCAATTTTAAATAACAAACGAAAAGCCTTGGTGTCCAAAATGGGAGTGGTACGTGGCAGTAGGCCCTAAGGCAGTGGCCAGACTGGGGTGAGGTTCATGGGACACTGGAGTCCCGCCTTTAAAAATGGCTAAAGTGTTGGTTGTGTAACCTCCCGTTCTTGAAACACAGCTGCTCCTGAAGCAGCAAGCCTGCCCATCGGCTTCCTCATTCAGATGCGTCCACAGTTCCTCCCACCATGACAACACCAGCTGCTGCCTGCCCCAGAGCCCAAACCAAACGTGTCTTGTCTACCTGGTCTAAGGTCTTCGTGGACACCCACAATGTGGAGCTAAATAAGATCTCCATTTATAAAGCTAGCCGCTGTCAGCTATTTCACTATAGAGACAAATATCTTTCGAAAGGGTCACATTTTCTGACCTTCTTAGAAGTGCAGTAAGTTCTGACAAGCACCACAGCACAGCCAGACTCTCTCTCCTTTGCTCTTAAGTCCTCGATGAATCATCCAAACTGATTAACGAAGCTTGCTGTGCCTCAATGTTCTTGCTTTGAACACTAAAAGGATCAAGAAAAGCCCCACCGTGTAGACAGCAGTACCTGGCTAATAACAGGAGGCATTCCATAAAGGCTAGCCCAGAGAAGCACTGTAATAATATATCGCTCAGAAATGGGCAGAAACACTTGCTTTCGCACCAACCCTTGAATAGACTTGAACATGTAACTGTAATATGCAACACAGAAAGCACTGTTTTAATTGCGGGCCCAACATGGTAGCCTAGCAGCTAAAGTCCTTGCCCTGCACACACCGGGATTACATATGGGCACTGGCTCTAATCCAGGCAGCCATGCTTTCCCATCCAGCTCCCTGCTTCTGGCCTGGGAAAGCAGTGGAAGATGGCCCAAGGCCTTGGGATCCTGCACAAAAAACAAAAACAAAACAAAAACAAAAGAGGCTCTGGGCTCCTGGCTTCGGATCGGCGCAGCCGCTTGGGGAATGAATCAATGGACAGAAGATTTTCCTCTCTCTTTCTTCCTCCTCTCTGTATATCTGATTTTACAATAAAAGTAAAAATCTTAAAAAAAAAAATCCTGGGCCCGGTGCGGTGGCGCAAGTGGTTAAGGTCCTCGTCTTGCATGCCCATATGGGCGCCGGTTCTAATCCCGGCAGCCCCGCTTCCCTTCCAGCTCCCTGCCTGTGGCCTGGGAAAGCAGTCGAGGACGGCCCAAAGCTTTGGGACCCTGCACCCGCGTGGGAGACCCGGAAGAGGCTCCTGGCTTCGGATCGGCATAGTATCGGCCCGTTGCGCTCACTTGGGGAGTGAATCATCGGATGGAAGATCTTCCTCTCTGTCTCTCCTCTCTGTATATCCGCCTTTCCAAAAAAAAATAATAAAAATAAATATTTTTTTAAAAAAATCCTTGCATGTTACAAATAAGAACTATCAAAAATACTGCAATAGAATTACATATCCAACTATACAAAATTATAGGAATGGGAAAGATGTTCGCTGTTGATTTTAATGTACACATATTAGGAGCCAGAGTTATCAGCTAATGAGTTATGCTCTCGCCTGGGACGCCAGATTCCCACCTGCTGCCAGCTGAAGCCTCAACTTCTCATTACACTCCCCAGCCTCCTGCCTGCTACTGTGCATGGGGACACAGTGGAAGCTGAGCCAAGAACTCAGGCCACTGTCATCCCCGTGGAGTTCTAGGCTCCTGGTTCGGCCTGGTCCTGTCCCAGCTGTTGCAGCCATTTGGGAAATAAACCAGCAGATGGAAGATCATGCTTCCTTCTATGTGTATCTCTGTAACTCTGCCTAAGACACACATTAAAAGTTTTTGGTCCTATGCTTTATCCTTAATCTTGCATTTCAAGAACATTCCAAATCTAGAAAAAGAATTTATATGATTTTAGTTGTGATGTTGTCCAACAACTCTTCTTCTTTTTTTTTTTTTTAAAGATTTATTTTTTATTACAAAGTCAGATGTACAGAAAAGAGAGACAGAGAGGAAGATCTTCCGTCTGATGAATCATCCCCCAAATGAGCCCACGGCCAGTGCTCCGCCGATCCCAAGCCAGGAGCCAGGAACTTCTTCCGGGTCTCCCACATGGGTGCAGGGTCCCAAAGCTTTGGCCGTCCTTCACTGCCTTCCCAGGCCACAAGCAGGGAGCTGGATGGGAAGTGAGCTGCCGGGAGTAGAACCAGTGCCCATATGGGATCCCGGCGCATTCAAAGCGAGGACTTTAGCCGCTAGGCCATGCCGCCAGGCCCCAACAACTCTTCTTTTGATGAAACTTGTAGACAGTGAAATACAATACGTGTGTAAACAACACACCCTCTGCAACGTGTGTGGTACAAGTAACATTTCAGGTTTTTTTCAGATATTGGAATATTTGTATACACCCAATGAGAAACTTGGGGATGAGACCCATGTTTAAAGAAAAATTCATTTATGACTCAGACATTCCTCCACATACACAGCCTGAAGGTAACTGTCACAGGATCTGCGTACACCTGTGCCTTCACTGTGGTGCAGCCATTTTCACCTAGGATGTCACAGCAACACTCCAAAGGTCTCAGAATGTAAGGCATTTCTGGAATGTTCATCCTGTATGACACAGTGTCACATGGAAGCTAGGTGTCTGTCACAACACGCAGGACACATGCTGTACAGGGCACTGTACATGGGTGAGATCATCAGTGAGCCCACGGGCACTGGCACACATCCGGGTGCTGACATTCTCTGTGCTTGGCACATATTCCTTCTAGGCACTGTATACCATAGGTTACGAACATATTAGAATGCAACTTAAATTGATCATGAACCAATTGCACAAAATTTCTGATGTCCATGATGACATTTTCAAATTTAAATTTCTGTGGCAGGGGGCCAGCCTTGTGGCACAGTGAGTTAAGCCACCACTCATACTGGCAACCCATCTAAGCAACAGTTCAAGCCCCAGCTGCTACACTTGAGATCCAGTTCCATGCTGATTCTGGAAAAGCAGTGGAAGCCTGGCCCAAGTGCCTGGAAGCCTGCACTAACACAGACAACCTAGATGGAGTTGCAGCCACTAGGGGAATGAATCAGTGGATAGATCTATGTGTATCTCCATGAGTGTGTGTAACTCTGTCTTTCAAATAAATAAGTCTTTAAAGCAACAACAACAACAACAAAAATCTTTAAATTTTCTGTTACAAAATTTCCAGAACCTGGCATGATGGCTCAATTGTGTAATCCGCTGCTTCTAAGTGCCAAAATCCCATATGAGCACGCGTTCCTGTCCTGGCTGCTCCATTTCCCACCCAGTTCCTCATTTTTAGCTGGGAAAGCAGTGGACCCTGCACCCATTTGAGAGACCAGACCCGGAAGAAGCTCCTGGTTTCAGATCAGCTTGGCTCCGGCCATTGTGGCCACCTGGGGAGTGAACCAATAAATAAACCATCTTTCTCTCTGTCTCTGCTTCTCTCTATAAATAGGCCTTTCCAATAAAAATTAATAATCTTTAATAAAAATTCCAGTTTTACTAGGCACACAGGATCCTATGAGGAATGCATATGTGACAGAACTAAATAATCAATTCTAACATACAATTTTCCGTCATTGGTAATACCATACGTCATAATTTTCAGGTGCACTATTCTGTTATGCACACTGCCTCTGTAACTTCTCACCTCTGGGCATGGAATAATGATGCAGGGCCTGTCAATAGCACAGCCACTGTACATATTAGTGAGAACAAAGATGCCATAGGATAAAAACAGAGCAGAGCCAATCCTGAGGGTCTCACCTGGGCTACTCAGCAGGCAGCAGGATCGCCGGGTTACAAAGAAGCTGGCGTCACCCACCACGGTGTGTAACAGGGGGAAATGAGTCTAGTGACTTAACTGCAGCACTGATCCACTGCTGGGACAGGCAAGGAAGATGATGTGTTCAAGTCTTCTGTTTTTTGTTTGTTTGTTTTGTAAAGATTTATTTATTTTTATTGGAAAGGTAGATTAGATTTACAGAGAAGAGAGACAAAGATCTTTCATCTGCTGGTTCACTCCCCAATGCCTCAATGGCTGCAGCTGAGCCCATCTGAAAGGGTTTGGGCCAGGAAGGAGTGCTTTTCGTCCCTACCAACACACCACCTGACCATTGGCAGGTGCCCAAGACGTGAGGTTGATCCACCGAGTGCCTCAGAGAAGTCACTCCCTACTTCCTGCTCACAGCAACAGAAGCTGGGAAGGACTGAGTCTCGGGCCTTCATCTTTTCCCAAACAGCTGCTGATCTCCCTTTCCCATAGAGAAAAGCCAGGGCCCAGGCTCATGAGCCACAGTCTCCAGCTAAGAAAAACTGTGGATTTTATTTGTTGAGAAGCCAGGGCCCCAGCTGGCCAAGGAGTTTAGGTAGACGGGTTGGAAGTTTGGCCCACTGCCACTTAGCAATGGTGGGTAACCACTTCCTGCATCTCTCTGTGCCTCAGTTTCCTTGCTTGCAAGATGAAGATGACCAGAGTTCTTAACTCGGGCAGCTGGGGAAGGAAGCAGTGCCCCAGCCATGCAGAACGCTCTACATTTGGTTGTGGAGTAAGCAGTAAGGACTGCTGCCAGGCATCTGTTTTTATTGTGTCTTGGTCATTTCCTACCTGCCAGCCAAATTTTCCATGTATTGATATAAAAAAAAAGTTCTTCTTGAATCAATAAATTTAACCAGAGAGTTGGCAGAATGCAAAGCATAAAGGTTTTCCAGCTAGGGGAGCCTGAGCTTCAATCAGCTCTCTAGGACAGGACTACGTCACCCGGAACCGAAGGCTTTTTCCTATTCCCCACCAGCCCAGTTGTTACCACGATGAGGTCCGCTCCCATTTTTACAATAACCTAAGACTACCTTGTATGTGACCTTCCAGTACGTCTCCGTGTATGCCTAGATGCCTCCTCTGAGCTATCCTTTCAGACCAGGCTATGCAGCATCAGCACCAACAAAGCCAGAGTGTTGCCTGCCCCCATTCTCTCTCTCTCTCTCTCTCTCTCTCTCTCTCTCTCTCTCTCTCTCTCACACACACACACACACACACACACACACACACACACACAGAGAGGCACCCGTTTGAGAAGCACTCACAGTTGGAGCCAACTGACCTTCAATGCTTTGAAGATGACCCCCGGGTGCCGGGGAGAGCGAGTGGTATTGTTCTCCAACTGCTGTTCCAAAGCACGCCGCAGGCCTGAGAAGTCGGTGGGAGGATTGTAAGTCCTCGTCCCCTTGTAGTGAATGGAGCTGAAGGCTTCTGGGAAGCGGCCCAGCTTCCGGAAGCGGTCCTGGATGAGCTTCTCTGGCACCTCCGAGGGGTGGTCTGCATGGGCAGAAAGGAGGGCAGTGAACAGAGAGGGTCGGGGAGTAACCCACGAGGGGCAGATCCCCTAGGGTGCAGTCAGGCCTGCTGTGACTCCACACGGGCACTGCCCTCACACGGGCAGAGCTAACGCTCCCACCCATCCCTGTTGGGCAGTACAAGGATGGCTTCTCCCGGGAGAAGGCTCAGGCCTTCTGTCTAGTGCGGAGCACAGAGATATGTTCAGGCTATGGAAACTCAGCAGATTACACACCTGGCAGAGGTCAAAGGTGTATTTCAAAAATGAGTGCCTGGATTGTATTTATTAAAGAGGCAGAGGGACACACAGAGCTCCCATTCCCTGACTTGCACTCTGCAAAACTCTGCAATTGCTTAGGTTAGGCCAGGCCAAAGCCAGGAGCTGAAACTTCATCTGTGTTTCCAATATGAGCTCAGGGACTCAGCTATACCACCTGCTGCTTCCCAGGGTCTGTATGAACAGGAAACTGGAACTGCGAACGGAACAGGGACGCAAACCTCAGTCCTCCACCAAGGGATGTGGACATCCCGACCACTGGCTTAGCCTCAAGGCCAAACAGCCCAGGAAAACTCTTTTCCTTTTCTTTTTTAAAGATTTACTTCTTTTTATTAGAGAGTCAGATATACAGAGAGGAGAAACAGAGAAAAAGTTCTTCCATCTGTCGGTTCACTCCCCAAGCAGAGTTGTGCCAATCCAAAGCCAGGAGCCTGAAGCCAGGAGCCCGGAGCCTCCTCCAGGTCTCCCACACAGGTGCAGGGCCCCAAGGCTTTTGCCTGTCTTCTACTGCTTTCCCAGGCCACAAGCAAGACCTGAATGGGAAGCTGGGTTGCCGGGACACGAACTGGTGCCCACAGGGACCCCCGGCACATGCAAGGCAAGGAGCTTAACCACTAGGCTACCGTGCCAGGCCCAGAAAGACTTTGTTCTCAAAAGTTGTTCACTCCATAATGCATAATTTTCTCTTACCTTTTTATATGTAACTAATTACCTAATAATGAACATTTAAAAGTCCTACATTTTGGGCTGCCTGCTTGGCCCAGCACATAAAGTACCCATGTCCCATACCCAAGCAACGGGTTTGGATTCCCACCTCCTCAGGTACTGGGAGGCAGTGGTGATGGTTCAATAGCGAGGTGGAAACACAGCAATGTTTGCTCCCAAAAGACTTGTTTCTGCTCATGTGTAAAGCAGAACCAGTTCACTTACCTACTAATCTGCCATCCAGGAATGTTCTGTAGAGCAATAAACACAAACTGGAAATCGGAAAGTCTACGGCAGAGTCAAATCTAAATACCACTTGCCCACAGTTCCTTTACTTGTCCTACCCGGCACACCCCACCACCTGCCGTGTCTCCAACTGCAGGCCTTAAGCACCAGCACAGCAACCCAGAGCCTGCCCTTAGGACTCAGAGCATCTTGCTGGAAATCCCAATGTGACAATTTACGAGCTAGAACTTCAGGCTTATCTAGCTGCAGCAGCTTCGTCACCTGTCAAATGGGTTTGCCAATGACTAGAGTGCCTAATGAAGTTAACACTGATTGAGAAAACACCTAGCATAGTGCACCTCGCAGCTAGTTTTCAAACCTCCCCTTCCCCAAAGACCACAGTTCCATGCCCAAAAGCACTGCCCACGGGAGCATCCTCAGGTCAGGCTAGGTCACCGGCCCCTCTACCTTAGAAGTCACTTGCTGGCAAGTCTTCTCTACTGTGGAAAATCTTGATTTCTCACCTTTCTGGGGTCAGGAACCCCTGAATCAAGGTCCTTCCCAGTTCATCTCCTTTATGGTCCAGTCTGTTCACTGTCAACCCAAAGCCACCGCTATGGCTCAATCCCCATCACTTCTCACCCAGCACTGTCACAATCAGACTGCTCCTTCTGCCTCCAGATAGAGCCAAGGAACCTACTGGAAACAGAGCTTTGATTTTGTCATTCTCTAAGATCCTTCAGGGTCTCTTGTGTACAGTATACCTGAGAACGGCACCAAGGCCACCCATGCATGACTCCTTAGTGCCTCCACCCTTCCCTACCATTCAAGCTATGATTCCGCACCAGCTACCAAAGCCTCTTCATGTACTAAGTCAGCAGTACTCCTAACCATGCTGTTTCCATCCCAATAGGAAAGGCTACCAGCAGATAAGCTCATCTGAGGATAGTGCTGGCTGCACTGACACAAAAGAACAGGGTAATGGGATGAGAACGTGACCACTCGGGTCCAGGGAGATTATGCTACAGGGGATAGTTAAGAAAAGCTTGAAGCAGAGACAGGGGGTAAAGGGAGAATCAAGCTGGATCTGAGAGTTTGGTGGCTACCCAAGAAATATCAAACACAGCAGCACATACAAGGGGGAGGAGAGAGAAAAGGCTGGAAAGGGGAGTGGAAGAGCATACACTAATGTGCACAGGGATATGGGGAAACACACACACACACACACACACACACACACACACACACACCCGTGATCAACCCAAGGGTTGACTAAAAAAGTTAGAGACACAGGCAAGAATTAGAATGAAGACACCATGGGTTGAAGCTCAACTCTGATCCGTTATGAACGGACAGTGGTATGACACAGCTTAACCCACACCTTAAGCTTTGGAAAACCTCCCTCTGGAAAAGCGTTGTAGAACTACCTGCTGCATCCTGAACTTGCCTCCCGAAGCCAGCAGCCGTGTGCTCTTCTGATCCAAGTCCCTAGTACTTAATACCTACTTGCTCTTTCCTATCAGTCCTTCCTCAGCACTCCCACATCTCTGGTACCCCCAGCTACTACAGAAGCCAACACTGCGGTTTCTCCAAACACACTGCGAGCTACTCAAGGGAGCTACTCTAGCTCTGCGTTGCAGACTCAGCGCAGGATGTGTACTCACTAACTCTGCTGACTGAATGAACAGGTATAGACGAGCTGGAGAGGCCACTACCACCACTCTTCCCACTGCATCACTGAGGATACCTACCCCATCCTCCCGCTAGGGCGAGGACCTTGCTTCCTATTTCTCCACAGAAGCAATCAGAGGTTGCACACACACGTACACATAAAACATGCTCACCTCAAGCTACTTACCTGTCACTATGTCTATAAGCACTTTCCCTCCTGCTGGCCTCCCACCTGATCATCACACATTCCAATCCTTTCTGCCCTCTCTTTCTCGTATCTGTATTGTTCTCTCTCAAAAAGAATCATTCCCATCGGAATTCTGCACTATTGCACACACTACTTTTTCCTAAATCCTTAAAACTCCACATCAGCTTCCAGCTATCTTCGCACTGTCCGGCATCCCTTCAGACCTCAACTTACTCACGCTCTTGGTTTCTTGTCCTGTGGCTTGCATTTCTCTCTGCTCCAGCTTTCGTCCTCCCTTACCCAAACTGCCTGAGAAACAGGACTCCTTCAGCTCCCCCTGGCCAATCAGTCCTTCTCAATCGTGACCCCACTTGGCCTATCAGCGGATTCTGACAGTTGAGCACTCTGTCTTCCTCAGACACTTCCTCCCATCTTGCCTGGCCAAATTCTGCTGGGTAATTCATCACCCCCGAGTTGCTAGTGTCAGCCTGAGGGTTGCCTCCTTGTACTCCCACTCAACCTGACACAGTGCCCATCTACTCACCTGAGCCCAGGAGCTGAGTGTGCACGGTCTCATGGAAAATGATAACGGCAGGGCCCAAGGTAGACAAGGGGACATCCAGGCCACAGCGGGCAGTGGTGGCCTTGAGCTCCTTGGTAAAGTGCTTCAGGTAAGCTTCAGAGGCGTCCCCAAGGAACTTAAAGAGGTCATTGTGCAGCCGATCGGCGTGAGTTCGATAGATGACAAGGTCTGAGATGGCCAGCACCTTAAGCAGCAGTCGCGTTCTCTGGCTGAGGTTCACAGTTGCCCCTAAGAGCCCCTCTGTGTCTATCACTGCCACCTTGTGGACAGGGTCATAGGCTGCCCACACTCCCACGGTGCAGGACTCCTGGGCAGGGGAGGTTTTGAAGACTTCACGGCCATAAAAAAAGGTGTAGTTGAGGGTATGAGACTTCCCATCGCCAGTATTTCCAAAAATGGAAACCACCTTTAGATTCTGATCAGGTTTACAGTCCAATTTCCTAATAAAGTCCTCTTCGTTCGTTACCTTCAAAACAAGGGAATTTAAAAAACATTATAATACAGAAACCACAAACCAGCTACAAATGTGTTCCAAGGTCAAGGACCTGACAGGACAAGGTGCCAAGACCCAAAGCTGAGGACCCACCCTACCTATACCCTCAGCCAGGAATTTCCAAAATCTGGGTCAGTGTAACAATTCAATTGTCATGAAAGGGCTAGAACAATGCAGCTCTCAGGGGGAAAAAAAAAAGAACACAGGACTTAATCATCTCTACTATCCTGGATTAGGCAATGGTTCCTGAGATAAGCACAATAAACAAAATAAATAGTTGATCTAAAGTAAAACTTGGGGCCACAGCGATGCTGGTACAACAAGTGTTGGGTCCCTGCACCCACAAGGGAAACCAGGAGGAAACTTCTGGCTCCTGACTTCACTCTGGGCCACCCTGGCTATTCCAGTCCTTTGGGGAATGAGCTGGCAGATGCACGATCTCTTTCTCTATTTCTCCCCTAAGCTATTTTGATTTTCAATAATCATTTATAAAAGAAAAGGAAAGACCTATCAGCTGGTTCATTCCCCAAAAAGCCACATCCAGGGCTGCTCCAGGTCAAAGTAAGCAGTCAGGAATATCAACCAGGTCTCCAATCTTCCACTGCACTCCCAGGCACAGCAGGAAGCTACAGTGCAAGCCTAGCAGCCAGACTCAAGTCACCACTCTGATATGGGAAACCAAGGTGAAAACTGGCAGCTTTACTCACTGTGCCACTATGTCAGCCTCTCAATTCATTTTTCATTAAGAAAATTTAATATCAAGTCAGATTTGTCTTACGTGTGACTTATTTTAGTTCCTAAATATTGATTCAAAGAGTAAGAAAAGAATGTAAAATATAATTGCACTTCTCAGGGTAGGCGCCATGCCTTGATGGGCCAATCCTCAACCTCCAAGCACAGACAACCAATATGGGTTCTAGTTTGTGTCCCAGCCACTCCACTTCCAATCCAGCTGCCTGCTAATGGCCTGGGACAGCAGTAGTGGATGGCCCAAAGCCTGGGCCTGTACCCACATGGGAGATCTGGAAGAAGCTCAGGCTCGGCGCAATAGCCTGGCGGCTGAAGTCTGTACCTTGCATGTATCGGGAGCCCTTATGGGTGCCAGTTCTTATCCCAGCTAATCCACCTTCCCTATGAAAATAATAGCAGTTGAGGATGGTTCAAAGCTTTGGGACCTGCACCTACAGGGGAGGCTCAGAAGAAGCTCCTGGCTTTGGCTTTGGATCAGCTCAGTTTCAGCCGTCATCGCAGCCAACTGGGGTGTGAGTCAGTGGACAGAAGATCTTTCTCTCTTGTCTCTCCTCTTCTCTTATATCTGACTTTCCAATAAAAATTTAAAAGTATTTAAATAATAATAATAATAATAAAAGGCTGAGGCACTGATACACAGTACCATATGGATGACCCTTGAATACAGAGGAAGAAAATAAAGATCTCACATTGTACGACTGCATTTATAGTAAATACGCAGGGAGTAAATCCACAAAAACAGTAGATTACTGGTGGACAGGGGCATGGGGGAAAAGGGACAGGGTGAGGCTGCTAGCTGGTACTATTTTGGGTGATGAGAATGTCCTAGAATTGGATGGTGACTAGTAAAGTTTACAAATATGCTAAAAATCCTGAACCATATATTTCCAAAAAAATGAATTTCATGTGAATTACCTCAATAAAATTTTTTTAAGATTGTTTTTATTTCTAAAGGCAGGAAGAGAGATATAGAGGTATTCCATCTGCTGGTTCGTTTCCAAATAACCACATCTGCCAGAGCTGGGCTGAAGCCAGGAGCCAAGAGCTTCTGGGGTCTGCCATGCAAGTGTGGGGGCCCAAGCCGAGTCATCCTCCACTGCTTTCTCAGATTCATTAGCAAGGAGTTAGAGTGGAAGCAGAACAGCCAGGACTTCATATGGGATGCTGGCATGGGCATAACAGGAAGGGGCTTTGCCTGCTATAACAGGGCACAGGCAACAGTAATTTTTGAACAGGAAAAAACACAGCAGTCAGTCTCCACTCAACAGTAATTCCCCTTTAACAGTATCAAGACCACCTCAGTCCCTATTAAGAGTCAGACCAGGAAGGAAGAGGCCTAGGACCACTGAGATTCCACTCTAACATTCCAGAAGGGTGCTCCACCTCCAAGTGGGCTGGGTCCTCTCCCGTTGAGAGTGATGAACCAAGCACCTTCCAGTGAAGAGAGAAAAATATGCCTTCTGCCTCTCAAGAGGCCGCTGGTTTTATAAAGAACAGTTCTGGAGAAATGCGGGCACCTCACTGAACAGGAACCCAGAAGTCCCTGTTTCCTGTCATGTCACTAAAAAGGCAGCTCACCCCTCATCCTGCTGACATCTCTCTTGTTACATGGACCAAGGACTTGGGTCCCTGCTATCTACGAATTTAGAAAGAGCCTTGAAGGGGCTGGCATAGTGGCACATGAGGCTAATTCACCACTCTGCAGGACCACCATTCCATATGGGCTCTGGTTCATGTTCCGACTGCTCCACTTCCAATCCATCCCCCTGCTTATGACCTGGGACTGGAGCAGAGAATGGGCCAAAGCCTCAGGACCCTGCACCCACCGGGAATACCTAAAAGAAGCTCCTGGTTCCTGACTTCTGAACCCATATGGAAGACCCAAAGAAGTTTTCGACTCCCAACTTTGGACTAGTACAGTTCTTACTTGCGGCCATTTAGGGATTGAACCAGTGGAAGGAAGATCTAGTTCTCTTATCTCTCCTCTCTCTGTAACATCTACCTTTCAGTTTAAAAATAAATCCTTTTACTGCTTTTTTTTAAAAGGGTCTTTAAACTAAAGACAATACCAATTCACTAAATACCCATTACAGCACCTGTGCCTTTCCGCATACGTGCCATGGCTCCAAACTGAAAAAATGAGTTCAATGAATTAAATTCTGCTTTAAACTGGAACCACTTTCCCCACCAACCCATCTTGCACAGAGCTAAACACAGAGCAGCATTCGATAAACAGGGACAGCCTAACTGGTCTGGCAGACAACTGCAAAAAACAAGTTCCCTAGAGCTGCCCATTTTGGACCTAGGTCCCTCTACCAGCCTGGGGTCCAAGTCGCTCAGCTGGCCAGCAAGAGGAACAAAACAAAAGCTCCACAAACCTCCCCAGGCAGGAAGGAGTCAGCTAAGGTCTGGTGGCAGCTGGGGAAGCCACCCACTCTGTCAAACAGCCCTGAGGGAAGACTGGACCCAGAGACTTCCTTCCCTGCCAGGAAATTTACTCACCACAAAACAAATGCTCTCTGGAAAAGGTGTATGTTGGAATCTGCAGGTGCAGAATGGTCTCAGGATCCACAGTAACTCCCCACCCAATCTGGACTCAACATGTATGTAAATTCACTCATGCGGGCTGAATCCAAAGCATTCCCTGACCAGCACTGTGTGGGAGAGGGGACTGTCGTGGCATCTGGTGGCCTGAGGAATGCCAAATCCACATGATCATATGTCGGACCCAGGCATGTGAGTCCAGGGTGAGGCCCGCCAAGCTCGTCGCTGCCTCTGACAGACAAGCCGCAATCACTGAACAAGCACTGACTGTAAATGTTGCTGTGCTAAATGAGGCTCTCACCACCTTCGCTTCCCATCACCGGGCAGTCCCTGCTACGCACATCAACAGGTTAGCGAGAAAACACACGGCAAACAGAAGCCACTCTGGCTTCGTCCTCCTGCGTTTCACATTGTGTTTCCCTATTACATGTCCATTTGCCCCTAGCCTGTGGTTACCACCCTCTGAGCCAGCAAGAAGAGGACGGCCTAGGGCTGGCTAGGTGCTGGTCAGGCTGGTTTCCTGTTCAAGGAGGCAAAGGTAAAGCAGAGTCCCTTGGACTAAAGGAAGCCCCCCTCCCCCTCTCCAGCAGGCTCCTGTTCTACTCGTTCTGCTTGTTTGCCATGAAGGAGCCCACTTGGCCTCCCAGGTGGAATGAACTCAGCTCCCGGTCCCTGAGCCCTGCCCACTGGCTGACACACCCGATTCTACAACCCTGGCCCTGGCCTTGACACAGCAGCAGCAGCGGAGTGCCACTGGTACACCCAGGAGAATGAGAATGACACAGTGCCACTGCACAACCCCCTGGGACAGTGAGTGAAGTAAGCAAGACAAGGAAGCAGAAGGACACAGTATAGTCACACAGGAAGTAGTAATGTGAACCACTATTACTTAAAGACCAACTCCAGCATCCCATTTGGGTACCAGTTAACAGTCCTGGCTGCTCCACTTCCGATCCAGCTCCCTTCTAATGCACCTGGGAAAGTAGCGAAAGATGGCCCAAGTGCTTGAGCCCCTACACCTATGTTGGCAGTTTGTAAGAAGCTCCTGTTTCCTGGTCTCAACTTGGTCCACCACCAGCCAGTGAGGCCATTTGGGGAGTAAACTGTCTCTCTCCTCAGAAAACTTTCAGATAAGTAAGTGAATCTTAAAAAAAAAAAAAAAAAAAAAAAAAAAAAAAAGAGGGGGAGGGGAGGCTGGCACTTTGGCTTAACTGGTTAATCTTCTACCTCCAAGCACTGGCATCCCTTATGGGCGCTAGTTTGTGTCCCAGCTGCTCCACTTCCCATCCAGCTTGGAAAACAGCAGAATGGACCAAAGCCTTGGGACCATGCACCCAAGTGGGAGAAGTTCCTGGCTCCTAGCTTCAGACTGGCTCAGCTCCAGCCACTGTGGCCATTAATGGAGTGACCCAGCAGATGAAAAATCTGTCTCTTCTTCCCTCTATAAATCTGCCTTTCCAGTAAAATTAAATATCTTAAAAGAAAAAAAAAAAAAAAAACAAGTCCAGCTCGGTGGGAAAACCCACAGATGAGATGCCTGGCGGCAACAGCCACCCTTACACCTGTGCCTGCTGTTCAATTATGAATTCAGCAATGCAGAGAGATTTAAACTGACTCCACCTAAAAGCGGGCTGAAGAGATCACTGCCTGCTTCCGGGAGCACCGTTCCTCTCTTCCTA